TAATTCGTAAGTATATTATAGAAAAGGATCTATTAACTCTTAGATATTATATAGCGACTATCTATAGCTTATCACCTAGAGATAGATAGATCTACTAAGTGAATAAACTAAACGATCGAAACGTACCTTTATATGTTTATAAATGAAAAATAGGATAACTAGGTAGAACTCCTATCTATAGCGAAACTAGTAATTAATAATCGTAATATATACTCTATAGGAGTAAGCCTATTCTTCCTACTATATAGGTATTACGTTAAGCTACTTTAAATATAAGAACCCCCCTATATAATAGAGACTTCTTAAGAATCTATATAATAAGTAGACTTTATTATATAGTGACTCTAAGAGGCGAGAGAATAGATATAGTCTTTAATAGCTATTACGTAGTAGGAGTAGGAGGAGAGAATAAATTAAACGCGATAATAGGCACCGTAATTCTAAGTTAGCGATAAGGTATAGCTTAACTTAAGAAATATACGAACGATGCGTATTAGTAAGAAACTAGACTAGAAGAATATAAAGTATACCGTTACGGAGATAGTGAGATCTTATAGTTATTACCTAAATACCCTACTAGATATTTATAATGTTTTCCATTTAGACCTCCTTTATACGACCTTAATAGACCCTCTTAACTTATAGAGAACGGATGATAACTAACCTATACCGGTAATAGTTAGAGACGATAAAGAATATGAGATAGAGGCGATCCTAGAAGATAGAGTCGTACGAAGAGGAAGAGGATCCTAGAAGTAATACCTAGTGAAATAGACTAGATATGCCGAACTAATATAGGAACTAACTGACGCGCTATAAGACTCCGCTACGCTAGATACGTATAAGGCTTCCTAAGTAAGTATAGAAGGAGGAGGGGGTAAATATAATAGATTAAACCTAGGAGAAGGCTTAGTTCTAGCGAACTAGCGCTAAGACTAACGCTAGGAAATACTACCTCCTAATTAGTCAAGATTTACCTATATAATATATAGGCGAAATACTACCTCCTAATTAGTTAAGACGTATATAGTATAAGGGATATAAAGTCCTAATAGCTAAGATATTATACGTAAGGGAAGGTAAGGAGTTAGAATAAGTACGTAAGGGAAGGTAAGGAGCTAGAATAAGTACGTAAGGAAAGGAGTAAGGAGGTGAGGATAATAGTTACCTCCTTACGGCGCGTTAAAGGATATAAGGAGAAAGGAAGGACAGCTATTCCTTCCTTCTCTCTCCTTAGATTTATCCTCCTTATTACTAGGTTAGCTAGCTAGTTGTAGAACTCTTTCCAAACCCTCATAGTTATTATCCTCTAAAAGACCTAATGCCGCTACCTTACGGTCCGCTATATCTTCTTAACGTTTAGTTAAGATATCTACTCTTTTATTAACGTTAACTATACGTTACTAAGTCTCTAATAACTTTTTAGCTAAATCTACTATTAATTATTAAGCCTCTTAGTCTTACTAGATTAACTCTTACTTTTTAGCCTTTAAGCGGTCAAACTCCGCTTTAGAGAAGTAACTATAGTAGGTTATATTTTTCTTAGTATAAGGGCCGCACTTCGAATAACTACGATAAATAATATAGATAGTATAAGACTTAACGTACTTAGGATAAGAATTAGGGGCATAAGAACCGAGTTTTATGATTATGTCGCCTAGGTTACGGTATCATTAGGATCGCGGAGGTTTCGGGACTTTAGATATAATTAGCTATAATAAATAGAAGAGAGGGTTAGAATAGGAAACGGGAATACTTACTTAAGTACGTTAAGGATAATAAATAAGCTAAAGAGGGGGAAGTATTACGAACCTAACTATATAAATAGCTAAAGGAGGGGTTCGGGGGGAAGGTTCGCTAGATAACATGTTATGATAAGACTAGCTTAGTAATATAGTAGAAAGAAGTAGAGCTTAGGCTCCTAGATATACTATATATATTAATATATTACTATATAATAGTATATATAATATATATACTTCTAGGTATATAGAGATACGTTCCACCCTAGATAGCTCACCTTCGTAGTTAATAAGAAAACGTTATAATTAGATAGTTATCGATATCTACTATACGTATAGGTCTGCATACTATACGCTTGGTTTCCAGTCTTAGCTACATCGCCCCGCTACTATATCACCAAGTAAACCATCTTGGGTTTGCCTGTGGACGCCTCACGTGTCGGATAGCAGCTCGTAACATATATCCATAAAGACTACCACTATCGATTATGTCGTTATTAAAGTTATATCGAGCTAGGGCGAATAGCTCTAATGTTGGGGAAGAAATTCTACCTGCCTCTTATCAGCGGACAGTACTCGGGCATAGGGCCGTCGCAACTCGCGCTCCTCCGAACATTCTTTCCATCACCAGAAAGGCCGTATGCTGCACCAAGTAGCATTAAGCGCTAAGAGCAATCCACCCCCTGTTTCCAACGTCGATCTCGAGCGGAGAAACTGACTCTACTTCAGTTGTCGGAATGGGATCAAAATAAAACTTACGAAGATGATCCTCCTATTAGCCTTTGCATTGCGATTGGGTGGAAAGTGACTCTCAAGCCGCGTTGGTGGTTACATAGTGTGATGCATAGATCGTTACTGATGCTTGGTTCAGAAAACGCTATGGTCACTGTCCTCAGCCTAGGCTGCTTCGAATATGATCACAGTTTGACAAGGATTTAGCCATCTTTCCCATTCACGGGACTTGCTCCCTTGGAAAGTGTCGAAAGCCTCCTCTACTAAAAAAATGCGGTATTGAGGCTGGTTACTCTCTCAAGAACTGGACCTGCTGGGGAACGCCGTAGCTATCATTCTCTCACACAGCCCGATGCGCACATGCATGCGGACAACCCTTAACAGCCAACGCACATAAGATACCCCATTGTCCTAATGCATATCGCCAACTCTTCCCGCATGCTTGAGGTCACAGAAGTAGAGGACCTGTGGATAACATCAAAATACCAGTATAACTTTCATTTGCCGACCACCGGAGCATGTTTTATACAGTCGGGTATCTGCAATCATGAAGAACAGCGATACGTAGAACCCTTTCGTTCAGCCAGCTCAATGCAATGCTGTCGAATCGCTCCCTTGATTGTACTCTGAGCTGGAAACCTTTTGAACTTTCCAGTTTTCCCCGGCTGCTCTGCTGTTGACTTTCTAAGTGGATTGACCCTCTTAAATCACCGTTTATTTGCATTGTTACGGAAGCATTCGCATCCGATTCCACGTTGCTATCACAGGGTACGGGCGCGGAGAGCTGAGGAACTTTGCTGGACATAGGATGTTGCTTTCCCGTTTGGGGGTTGCCAGTCACAGTGTTTTTGGTAACTTTGGAAATATCAAAATCTCCAGAGTTGAAGAATTTGCGTTCCTGTAGATGTTAACTTTAATATATCTATGTGAAGACCAAGGGTAGAGCCTGACTTTGACTTGAGAGCGTAGGAGCATGCTTTGCTTGGGTAAACTCCCATAACGTGCGAGAATCTATTTTTCATGTTCGGTAAGAGGCTGTTGAGATATCCATCAGTGAAGGCTTTAAGTTTCGACGTAGTGCTTCCTTAACCTCGCTTGAGTCTTCATGTTCCTTCCTATGGTTCATTGAACTTAAGATTTCCGCGGTCGGATCTATTATGGCCAAATCTAAGATACACTGTTAGCAATATCAATGTACTCTCCCTCCTGGCATTGCTACTGTATTATATATTGTTACCTTATTCTTTTAGTTGCATCTATCTTCAAGAGGAGTCAAGTGGTTAGGGAAATCGAGGCTGATTTCTTGGTCCTAATTCTAGCGTAGACAGCAAGAAGTTTGACCAAAAGAAGTCGAAAACTTTGAAAGCCCTGGGACATGCCATTGGTCTCGAATTTGGGACGCCATCGCCACTTTCCCTGGCGCCTAATCCCAGACGAACCCGATATCTAGCGCCGAATATAGATTCCTCCAATAACAGAATCGAGTTTGTTGAGTCTAGCTGATGAGTCTGTTTCTTGTATCAAGTGATCAAGCATGTGAAATTTTACATTTCGGTAGACGTTCGAAGGTACTTTGTGGAATGATAGATTGGTCTCCCACTAGCACCAGACCCGTTACCGTGCTGAATTTTGTGTCCAGATGGTGACGCTGAAAAGCAAAAGTTAGGACGCTTTACAACAATAGCTGGAGCCTGGAAATGGTCATCCAATAGTAAACCATGCCTTGATTTGTGACTCTTGACCACCCCTGGCTTAGCTCATGAGACCAGTCTAGACCCCCAGTCCTTCCACACGGGCGACGGATGGTGAGCGTAGCAGAACCGACGGGGTCCATTTATCAACGGTCTAGGCTTCTCTATTTTGCTAAGAGATGAGCACAGTGTTGTTCTCAAAGCCAACCCAAGCCTTGTTAGGCTACGATCAACTGTGCCATTGTATTGGAAGTCAAATTAGGCAACTTTGCTTGGGCAACCTTGGAACAAAATGCTCAGAAACTGATGCCGAGTATTTGCAGCAAACGCTTGGGCTCCCCGCTTGACCCAGATTTATGCCTACTGGGTCAATTGCCCTTCCATATACGTGATTGCCTTGATTCCCTGATTGAATCTACTGGTGTGACCCGGTTGTGCGGGCTGTGCACCCACCTGCCTTTTGACATCAAAAACCCAGCACATTCTACGCCATTCATATCGTCCCAACCATTGCATACCTGGCCTCTATCGCGGTCACACTCGACTTCTGAGTTCTACCACCCAAAGATATTGATTCAGACTCCGTCGAATGTGCCTTGCTAATCTACGATTGAAGAGGACGTATTCCATTCATTATGCGTATGTATATCATCTCTACAATTGTCGCTCCATTAACACGAATCGACAGACAAATACCGCCGCGAGGCAAAATATGCTGCGTGGTATGATGATCCAGGCGATGTCTCTAATTTCAAGGTCAGAAATCCTTTTGCGAAATAGAGACCGCATTCACGAGCAAACTCAATGCGAGATGGAAAACGGCGAGGCATCAGACATGGCCCCCGTCAGGCGTCCCAATGACGATATCGAAACTAGTTCGCCTCTAAAGACTGCCCTTACAGATGATCCAAATGACTACAGACTCTCAATTCTTGTTGTCGGAAGAGAGAGATCCCAGCGGCGGCATATCAAAGCAGAAGCCGATGTTACATACCTAACAAGACCATACCCTCCTGGTGATGATGACATTGGGTTTCCTAGTGCTCAAAGCCCTGACAACGAATTGAAAGATACCAAGAAGGAGGGCAGCCCCGAACAGACTGGCACAAGCTCCGATACCTACATCGACGAAAATACCAGGCAGTCCGAAGGCCACCCTGTGTGGAATCGCACGGCAATCACCAAGGAAGAGAGGCATGGTTTGAAGAAAGTCTTCGGCAGAAAATCAGCCAAATCAGAAGATGAAAGCGACAAAAATGGCAAGGACAAGAAGAATCTTACTGTCTGAAGTCAGACCCATGCAATTCTCAATTCGTGGATCAACGTCCTCCTAATCTGCTCGCCGGTGGGGATCGCTGTCTCCTACGCACACGTCAATCCAGTCGCAGTCTTCGTCATCAATTTCATCGCGATCATTCCTTTGGCAGCGGTACTGAGTTACGTCACTGAAGAAATTGCGCTTCGTGTTGGCGAAGTATTTAGTGGCTTGCTCAATGCATCTTTCGGTAATGCCGTTGAGTTGGTTGTATCGATCATTGCTCTGGCTAAGGACCAGGTCTTGATAGTCCAAACTTCTCTCATTGGCAGTATGCTTTCCAACCTGCTTTTGGTTATGGGAATGTGTTTCTTCTTTGGTGACTTCAACCGTATCGAACAGGCATTCAACTTGACGGTCGCGCAGACTGCGTCCAGCCTGTTATTCCTAGCCGTGAGCAGCCTAATCATCCCCACAGCCTTTGAAAAATGGGCGAGAACATCGAACGGCACTACAGGAAAACAAATGGCAACCACGGAAAATCTCAAACCCTGCGTGGCAGCCGTTAGCAGAGGCACTGTTGTTCTCTTGCTCATTGTGTACGCTTGCTACCTCTTTTGCCAGCTAAAGAGTCACGCCGAAATATACAATACGCCGGGTGAAAAGAACAAGAAACGAGCTGTGGGTGCCAAATTCAAGAACGCCGTCCTTCCTGAGAGAATGCGACGCAGATCACCTGAAGAAAGAGAGCGGGTGGTCGCAGAAGCAGAAGGCGAGGAGCGTGAAGAGCCACAACTATCAGTTTTAGTGGCTGCTTTGACATTGGTCATCTCCACTGTCTTAATTGCCTTGAACGCTGAATATCTAGTCAACTCGATTAACGCCATCATATGCGGCGGTGCAATCTTTAAGAACTTTATTGGTCTTATTCTAATGCCCATCGTGGGTAATGCTGCTGAACACGCTACCGTGGTCACTGTGACAGTCAAAGACAAGATGGACTTAGCTATTGCTGTTGCGGTCGGCCGTCACATGCATGGTCTTCGTTCGATCTTGCATCAGTAAAGAAGCATTTCGTGCTTCGTGAGCACTTCGGGGTCTTGGAGTGGCCATTACGGCTGCAAACGAGTTCATCGTGCACTCTCTGAACTCTGGTCCGTGAAGTCAAAGTTCAGCCGTCCCACTACCGAGAGACAGATCGGCAAGGTCCAGTCTGACGAATGTGCGGTATGTATTGTGTCTCATCCTTGAACAGAACGTTCTGGTGGGTATTCAAGGAATGTACGATGATGCAAAGCGACTTCTGTGGAAGAGTCGTAGCCAAGGCTTTCGAATTCTTGTCCCGAACTATGCCTTCACCCAACGGTCAATTCTCTCTGATCTTGTTCAAACATGTTAAAGTAGGGGAAGATTGGTTCGCAGATTCTCAGGACAAGTGAGTCCGCAGAGAATAGATAGTGTCAAGAGGACTGTGTCTAACAGTCAGCCATCTGGCTCTGGTCCTTTCTTTTGCACAATCCTTAAGATCCAGCCACAAGCGTATAGCAACTTCTTTATCGCAGCCATAAATCTTGCTGTCTCTCGTCATATTCGTGGTGTAGGCAGAGCAATTCTCCTAAAGATTTCTTGTTTCTTTGCTATATTTCTCAAGCCTGTCCAAATCAAGGAGCTTCCAATGGCACAATCGGCTTCGGTATATGGCTGTTAAGCTGATCAAATGAAGCGTGCAATTTCTCATTGAAGCAGCAAGAGCTTCGAATGCATACGCAATGTCACCAGTTCAAGACTTTGAACATTAGTATTACCCTTTTGCTTATGCCAATTATGGTATTGAAACTAAGAACATAACCCGTCCCGCACACAAAATTGCAAAGCAAGATCATGGATTGTTGAGACTAGGCGGCTCGGAAGTGTGCGAGGGGCCATGTTCCTAAGATTTCTGAGTGCTTGTTCTTAAGTCATCCGTTTATCGTACACCTCGTCATGGTTCTCATAGCAGATCTCAATAGAGCCGAAAATTATGGAAAAGGCTCGGTTTGCATGTGGATTTTCCGGAAAACTATCCGATATAACGCAGATCGATATAACGGCTACCGGTTGGCAGGCAGATACGAGGATTAGGGAAAGAAAGAGACTCGCTCTGTACTCATGCTCTCATTGATATAACCTTTCCCTATTTCCCACTTGCCAAGATCCCCTACGTGTTGTGACACCTAGCGTGGAAGCGACTCGTAACAATAACAACATGAGGTTGAGGTCGAAGTTGATACAATGTCTTCGGATTCAGGTTGCTGACTACTCTGCCACTGTAACTGAGTTTGATAGGCCTTGAAGATATCATTTAGCCTCATTATTCGCAGAGGATTGAAGATCTTTGGTTTGGATTTTGATTAACTAGTTTATCTCAGTCCTTCCTCTCGGGCTCCTTACTTGCCATCCATTTCCATTTCTTCCATCTCGAGTGCCAGTTGTCGCTTCTTCATCTCGTGTAATTTCTTCTTCTTCTCCAGTGCGGCGGCTTCTAGGTCCTGACCTTGAGCGGTGGCTTGAGGCTGCTGCGCTTGGGCAGATTTCTTCCCCCCGCCAGGCGCGCCAACCTAATGTCTTGGTCAGCATATGCTCGCACGGCCTGCGCTGGAGAAACCTGCAATGGGCAACCCGTCAGTCACACTGCCAACAGTGTCTAGAAGAGGTTCTGTAATCCCGCCGACCTGGTCGATCGTCAGCATAGATCACTGGAATCCCTTGACTGGAGGCTTTACGATAGGTAATCCTTTGGTTGTGGAATTAAGAGTATTGGTAACACTACACCATATGTCAACAAGGGTTGGAGACACAGGATAGACAATTGATCTTGTACCCTGATAGAAGACCTCTGCCGCCCTCTCCTCCACCTCCGAGAAGTCCTGCCATGTTCGCGCTGGGACCGAGCTAGTCGAGGAGTGCTAATGGAGCTCCTGGATGAAGTGTTCAGAGAATTGTTGGCTTTGATGTATGGGCAGTTTTGTGTACTAACGCATATATTACAAAAGAGCCTGTGGATTTTATCTGCTCTTTAACCTGCCAGGGATGTACAAGAGCAAGTCTCCGTTTCTCTAGTGTTAGCACGTGTGCATGTACGCATCGGCATCTCCGCTCAGAGTCTATTTCCAGAATCCACAATTAACCACCAGGGACTTTCCTGATTGGATTCGTTTCTGTTGGATGACAGTAAGGATAACCGGCAATTCTTGGAGTTGAAATCTTGATTTTGAGAAATAATAATTTGCAAGTACTATGGCATGCCCCAGAAAACCCTGTAATGCATTGGATTTCGACCTCCTCCCGGAACGGCACCTCCCCACTTCTTTACAGAATTGTCGCTGTTCCCAAAATGTCACCTGAGTCAAGTCACGACTAAGGGATTAGCCGATACACATAACTCGGATAACGCAAGGCAATTTTATGCTTCTGCGGTGCTTGATATTGTTACTAAAGTGGTTCGAAAGTGTTGAATCTGACTCACGTCTCACAATAATCCGATGGTCACGTCTCCTTTGACTCTTGCGTAGATCTCAACCTATAGAACAGTTACATTAACCCAATCGTAACATCTCCCTTGACTCGGGCGTAGATTTCTACCTCAACTTCCAGATCCAGTTCAATCTTGATCTTCAGACTGCTGTCCTTCTCGCCCACTTTCGCCGGTCGATCCTGGATTCGAGATTGATGCACCGGGACGATTCTTCTCCCTCTACTGGCTGGGGGAGCTATAACATCGTCTTCTGCGCCGATAGACTGGGTGGTGTCACTTGCCGGCCTTTTTTGCATGGCTTGCTGGAGCTTGGGGGCTTTGCGGCCACCTTGAGGGAGTGGGGACGGCTCAGCATCTGATGCGTCTTCTTTGGCTCCCCAGGCGGCTGAATCTTGGGCTTCGGCTCTGCAGAGAGACATCAGTCATACATAGTAAGGAAAATGTGTGTTTCGACGAGGGAAGACTAGAACCGACACTCACGTTTGAGTCTGTGACATGTTCAACTATTGGGGTTGACGTCTGAGGGTACGTACCAGACAACAAGGGAGCAAGGATGTAAGGTAGGTCAAAGGGAAAAGCTTTGTGACTCGAGATCCAACAAAGCAAGAGAGTCGCATTCCTTAAGCACAGTGTCAATCAATAACTCGTTCAGCATAATGACGAGGGCTTCGTTTCACTCCCTCTACGTGTCTTGTCCGACTCGTCACCGGTATCCATTTAGAGCGCTAACAAAATGTGAGAAGCAAGATTCCTCAAAATATATCTGGCAAAAAGGCTGCGGGGGTAGGGTAGTATGGGAGTAAATACTCGTCCCCTGCTGACCCCGGGAACTCGGGCTAAGGGGTGATGCCAGGATAACCCTGGCGTCCTTGGGCTGAATGAGAATGTGGTGACGTCATGGTGAATCGTCGTGTTGGAGCACAGGATCATCAAGGTGTTCTAGACTCTCACAAGGGAGCACCCCTTGGCTGAGGCCCGACCATCATCCAACCGGTTGGCTGCCATCACGTTGGAGAATATACCCTTGAGGGTTCACACAATAGATAGGAACCAGCCGGCGTCCCTAGCTTCTCCCTTCAACAACCAAATTTCTTGTGATGCCATGGTCCTGGGTATCCTTACCGCAATCGCAGCTTGTCCTGCAATCATTGGCACCACCGAAGCAGTCCGACAAGGCCAAAAGAAATCCGCCAAAGAACAGCACAGAGGTGTGAAGTCGAACCTCGTTGTCTCTTGCCGCAGTTCATCGACAGTTACGAGCCGGATAAACGGGGGAAGCGTCGTTCTGCGGAATCAGAAGGTAGGGAGACTATCTCTCCTGCCCTTGCAGATGGAACCTGTGAAGGACGCCGCATGACTAATACATACCTAGCTATATATCACAACACCTGCTACTGAGGGTCCAACCTCACATACCTTCGCAGGATATTTCCTTCCCTTTCCTGACCAGGACTGGGGTCGCAAAGGGGAAGGACTTGTCTCGACCATCAGCGATGAACCTCCACAGTTGAACTGGATATACATGGATCAAGACACATATGAGCTCAAGTATGGCAATCGGATAGAATCTGAACCTCACCTTGTCGGACCTTGGGATTGTACGAGGATAGATAAAAGACTTACCCTGGATGGTTGGGAAGGCTTTATGGCTGTAAGGGAGGAGAAGGGTGTATGGTCGCTCTATTTCGACCAAGACGACAACGGCTTAAAGGGCAAAGTCTTCGAGAAGACAATGTTGGAAGTCGAGTTGACGCGGACGGAGAGAAGGAAGGGCAGAGACGATGAGTGAGATCAGTGCCGGAGCAGTTCGAAAGGAGCTTATAGCAACCACGGATTATAGCTACATTAAATGCGTAAGCTCAGGAAAAGAATCGAGGCCTTTTCGCGGCCAAAGCGTCCAGGCCTGACAATGGCAGCAGCTGCATTCAGATCCCACGAATATATTTCAGATGAGAGTACTGCGGGCCATTGTTGCATGCGGTTAGGGTGCCCCGAATATAACGCGCCCCGTGGGAGGCAGCCAGGCATGACGCGCCGTGTCAAACCCTGCGCAAATGAGCTCCGACTGATGAGGGCTCCAGACTGGCAGACTGGCTGCAATATAGTGCTAATGCTTAGGCAATACAATGACTCAGATAGTCGTTGCTTGTAGACGATTGCGATCTGCTGTGAATCTTCTGTTCGACTGGGCAAAATCCGCCTCGACTCCCCGTTGTGCTATCTTGGTTTGCTTTTCGAGACGGCCAAGACGGCGTTCGACCTCGCCCTGCTTGCTTCGGCGGAACAAAGCGACCATTTGATCTCAGTCTGCAGCAACTTGAATAGTATGCTGTCTAGCTCTTGGGCGCGTATTGCAAGAGGAAGGACGACGCCGGCCGAGGTTCAAGCCTTGATAAGGTGCTTGATTTCACTGGACTTGAAGTTTTCGGCCGTCCATTTGGGCACGGACCCCTGGTAGAGGGTCTCACCGAACTCGATTTTCAGTCTCTGCTGGGTTGAAACGCGCGCCGTATCGGTTGATAGGTGCGAAAAAAGGTGGCGTAGTGCTAGCCTTGGACCGGACTCTTAACTCCGGGGGGGGAAGGGGGGGGGAGGCCGAAGCGGATGAGTTTACCGGGTCAAATTCACCTCCCCTTCATCTCAATCTTTTGACTTCCCCTCTGAAATTTGGGGTCCCTGACTTCAACCGAGAGGTGCTTGTTCCTTGAATCTAAGACTGTTGCCGTTCGCTCGTTGCCCTTGTTACTTGCTGCTGGCTTCCTCTCTTGGCGATGCTATTGGGCTCAGGGTCATGTTCGCAACCTTGTCTAACATATTTCAGTCCATGCACCCTCTGCCCTGTCCCCACCCGCCTCACGGCGGCCCCGGAGCACTCAGCTATACCAGGGCCTGGATACACAGGAATATCAGGCTCCAATACTTGCTCACCTAGCTAGATATCTTCATCTATCTATATAGGCACTGCGGTGGCTAGCTCATCGCAGAGCACAGAGGTCATTTGACTCCGAATCTCCTCTATTTCCGGGTGCCTACTACCGCCTCCCTCATACGCCGATTGACAATAGCCTACAAGGTCCCACCGTAACTCTGTACAACTCATCAACAAGGGTTACTTCATCCAATTCACCTGAAGCATCTCCTTTCTCTAGATATAGTCACTCCACACTTCAGACAAATCAGCAGCTCCAGTCGTGTTGCCAGTGATGGAGCGTGTGTTCCCCATTCGATGCTTCGTCTTCGAAGACAGTATACGCAATCAGAATAAAGGTCATCAAGGTCAGTATTCGACGATATCTTCATTAGAACTACTTCCTCTGATACCCACCTTCCATAGCAACCTTCCGTGAAAAAAGCAGCAGTCCTCTCATCCCGTCTGACAGCACCGAGACCTTGAAGCCTTCCCAATCAGCCGTACCTGAGGAAAGACCGAATTATCCCGAAAGTCAAAGCGCGGCAACAAGCCCCGGGTTTCCATATCTGCAGACTCAAAAGGAGAACGTACAGCCAGAAATACAACTTCCGAAAACCTCGGAGGACGAACAGGTGGAGGTATGTATCTTGGGAACTATCCAGTCATATGGAATGTTGGTCGCGTTGAAGGAAGAAAGCAACGGCATATTTGAGGCTCTAGCCGTCAGTGAGAACTCTCATGCACTTTGCAGGTACTCTCCAGAGGACATCTTTGCACTGGCCAGCTTTTGCAGCATATTTCCAGAGGAGAAGCGCCCAGCCTTTGCACACCAGGCAAGGATCATCAGGAGTCAGTTTCTCCTGGCTCCTAAATCCACAGAGCCTAAGGTGTTTCCCATACCGTTTATGGACCCTCTGGGGGGCTTGATACCTTGCTGGTGTGCTATTCATTGTGCGGGGATAGACCAGTCGGTCCTGATATGTGAATTCGAGCCTCTAATCTATCCCCGAATCACCATGATGACTCCCCTCTCGGATATTGAATCGCCATTGGAGAACCAGGAGGACGATCCCATGGACGCCGCTGAAATCCAAGGGACCACGCTCCGGTCTCTTCACCTTTCATCAGGGATCGATGACCTCTTCAACGGAGGAGGGAGAGCTACCGAGATCCTGAGTATAATATCTCAAATCCAACAACGGTTCTCTGCCGCTATCGTTGTCCAAGATCTCCTGAACATTCTCGTCGGGGTAATGCAGGAGCTAACAAAGTTCGACCGCTGCATGGTGTACCAATTCGACGACTCTTTCAACGCAATGGTCGTTGCAGAACGAGTCCACCCTCGTTTGGGTAGAGAAATCTATAATGGACTACAGTTCCCCGCAGCTGATATGCTCAAGCAGGCAGGAGACGACTATGGGATCAATAGTATACCAATGCTGTTCGATCGACAGCAAAGGCCCGTGCGCCTTCTCGGCCGCACCGTTACCGACCTTATGACGCCGCTCGATCTTACCTACGCGTATCTAAGAACAATGGCTCCGGTTCATATCAACTACTTGGAGGACATGGGAGTACGATCGACAATGACGGTGTCTCTCCGCCAGCAGGGTGAGCCTTGGGGCTTGATCTGTTGTCATTCATATGGCCTCGCCACGACCAGGATTCCTTTTCCAATTCGAACGCTTTGTTACTGGGTCAGTCAGTGTGCTTCGAACTGCCTAGACAGGCTTCTAGATGTCCCATTGGTTCAAGCTCGCAAGCTTCAAAACCCCCTTCACGTGGACAAGACCCCGGATGCGTTCATCAGTGCCTCTTCCGATGAGCTATTGAGGCTATTCCAGGCTGACTCAGGGTTCCTGGTAGTTAAGGGAGAAGCCAAAACGATCGGAAGGTTAGCGTCGTACCAGGAAGCCATCACGCTCCTCAGATATGTATTTCTCAGGAAATTTAAGCATATCTATGCTACGCAAAGTATAACTACTGACTTCACTGACTTAAGCTATGAGCCAACGTTCAAACATATCGCGGGCCTTCTCTTTATACCTTTGTCCGCAAATCCTACCGATTTCGTCTTATTTTTCCGAAAAGATCAACATAAAGAAGTCCACTGGGCAGGTAGTCCCAGTGTATCGCTATCAGGGTCTCGAACGTCAAAGAGTGCCTTCAGGAAGTGGACGGAAAGGGTCCATGGGACTTGCATAGGCTGGACGCGAGACCAACGTAAGCACCACGTCGTCCAGGTTACGCCCTGAATATAGGCTAATGAGTACCGTTCCGAAGTTGATACCGCCGCCATGGCGAGGCTCGTGTATGGAAATTTCATCAGAGTTTGGCGAGAGAAAGAAGCAGCTCTCCAAGATACTCGAATGAAGCGGCTGCTCATGCTCAATGCTTCTCACGAAGGTAAGCCACATCCACGCATCTGCACCAACGTATAACTGAACGCGCAGTCCGTACCCTACTGAACATTTTGGTCAACTATCTTGAAATGGCTTCGGAGAGACCGTTGGACAAGCCGACAAAGGAAATTCTGTCTATGTCACACACGGCCTCGAAATCTCTAATCTACTTTATCGATGACCTTCTGCATCTTACTGGAAGTAGAGACGGACCGATACCACCTCTTCAAGAAGCTTTTGACATCAGATTGGGGCTACAGCAAACCTTGGAGCAACTCAGGCAGCATGCGGCGCGAAAGTCCCTAGCTTTCGAAGTCTTCATACATCCCGAATTTCCACATTTCGTGCAAGGTGATCTACTACGCCTTCAGCAAGCCATGTTGAGCTTAGTCTCTAACGCAATACAATATACCTACAGTGGCGGCGTCACCATCCAGTTGGGTCAGGTCTTTGAAACAGAAACGGACTGTCTAGCTCAGATTATAATCCAGGATACCGGAGTTGGCATGTCAGATAACGAGCTTGATGACCTGTTCATGGACCTTGAAGAGGTACGCGGTGAAGACTTCCAGGAGGAGGAATCACCCCTAGAGGTAAAGCCCCGTATTCCACGCGACGGTGTGAAATCTTTGAAGTTGGGACTGGGTCTCGCGCTAGTCGCACGGTTTGTGAAAACCAGGAATGGGCAGATCCGACTGAAGTCTACCAAAGGGAAAGGCTCAACAGTCACCCTGGACTTACCTTTTAAGCTTTGCCCTGAGGCTGCACATCCATTTCAGTCCAGTCTCAATCTTCAGGCCCAATCATCAGAATCTGCTCAGCGTCAGTCACTTCCCGTGCGCCCCAAGTTGGGGGCTAATCGCGAAGCTGAGGAGTCGGCAAGGTCGCAAGCTTATTTTACGAGTCGGAACGGGACATATCCTAGACAACAAAGCATAATCGCTTCACCTTCAGAAACATACTCCCGTCCATCGAACGATGAAATGCAAGATCTTGGCGATCGTCATCTGACAGTGCTGGTTGCCGACGACAACTCCATCAACCTCCAAATCCTTCAACGGAGACTGGGGAAAATGGGACACGATGTCAGAGTTAGCTGGGATGGTCAAGAATGCTTTGATTTATTGAAGGTCCATCAAAGTGATATCGACTTTATCCTAATGGACCTTGAAGTGCGTCTTTCTCCCATCCTCGAGACGTCGTTTACCATTTCGGACATGCTGACAGTCTAGATGCCATTTGTTAATGGCTGGCAGGCCACTCAGATGATCAGGTCGCTAGAGAAGACCACGACAGATATCCCGCACTCCACGGATGAATACGGCAGAATACCGATCTTTGCCATCTCAGCGACTCTACGGAAGGAGCAACGACAATCCTTCGCAGCATCGGGTTTCGATGGCTGGCTACTTAAACCGGTTGATTTTAAGAGATTGGCACTCATACTTTCAGGTGCTTTCAATGCGGACTCACGCAAGAGGGGCCTGTACGAAGAGGCGTCGTTTCAGCAAGGAGGCTGGTTTTCAGAGCGTTGTGTCGACATCTGAGAGGAATAAGCCACAGAGAAGTCCTCATGTAAAGGATGGCTGAAAGACTGTGTTGGACCGAGTGTGTCTTTGAGGATAGCAAACGAATTTCATTGAAGAGTCTATCCTCCTACATCTTGCACAAGAGAGTCTATCTATATATATATGTAATATAGAGGGGTGATATAAGGATGACAAGGTTCACGTGCCGAACTTCCGAGTCATAAGTCGGAGCTCGACAGAGCTATCATCTCGCAGTGTGATTTCTTGCGCAACTCTTCAGCATGGTCACGTTCCCAATCACACCTAATGATCTTCTCACGAGCACGGCGGTCCGAATGGGCAGTCATCCGGACGCCGTCTTCCTGCTTCTGCGAGGCCTCGATTTCAGTGATCTGCCTTTTGTTGCCCTCAGCCAGCGTTGTCTCTGGCGAATCGTCAAACACTGGCGCATTCGCAAAGGCCTCGGGGGCGAGACTCTCGACTTGGTATTCGTCTCGAGAAAGGGTCGAAAGACGACGATGGAAGGGGGACGGCAGCACAGAAGGATGGCTCTGTATTCCTGGGGTGTCGGTATCAGATGCTTTGCTGATGCCCTCCGCGTAGCAGCTTTGAAGAAGCTTATTGAAAGGAGACACTGGACTGCAAGAACGAGCACGAATTGGGCGAAAGGTGGTAATTGGGATTGGGTTCTCGAAGGCATCATGTTGCGACATGGTGAGGACCAACTCGTCGTGGGAGTATACTAGTTTCTGGATGTGATCTCGTCCATGGATGAAACAACAGGCGATGACTAGATTGCAAGATTGTTAGATTGTTGCAGACGTACTTGATGGTACGAGTGACGTCAATTCTTGTCCTTTTACTGTGGCCTGGGTGTGCAGGAAGGATTGCTGAATCGGATAATGGGTTGGAGTCAACTTTCAAGCGGTCACTAGGGGCCCGCGTCTGGGCACTTTTGTCGCCCTGACGAATCCTCCCCATGGAGTGAGGTATATTCCGGCAGGCTAGGCACCAGGATAACGACGTGTTGCTCTCGTCCCCCCCCCCCCCCCCCCCCCGGGCCCCCTGCTGCGCATTGGCGGTGTTTTCGTCGATCAGGAATCCACGGAGAAATCTGCCGCCTCTTCCCTTTTTAAACCGTTGAGGTGGGACCGCTGTTAGCCCCGCATAGGCGATGTCATGCTTCGTCTAATTCGCTGCCGTGGCTTCAGCCTCCAGACAAGGGGGGTCAATGGGCACTGGCATGTGCACGCATGTGGTAGAACACGCAGAACCGGCACGTATCAACCGCGTCGAAGAGCAGGCTCCGGCCTCTCTTCATCAAGGACACAAAATGGACTGCCGCTTCTGAGTTGCGCTGTCATCATCATTCTTCCGCTCGGCGCATGGCAAGGCAAACTTCAATAGTTTCGGCCGGAGAGATATTCCGGTCCCAAGAGTTTTAAAAGTTTGTTAGGTTGATGCCTTGCGTTGTAGCGATGATGACACTAAACTCACTGCAGCGAGAGCACATGGGCTTTTATCCCGAATACAATCTTCGAGCTCTATTAACAGGATTAGGAGACTTCGCTAAAGCACGCTGAGACACGGTACCACCATACCTTGACCCCCAGTCAATCATTCAGCCTGGAGGAATTTACAGATCTTTACGACGCCAGTGCCTGTGTAGAAATGATGCTATTCGCTCGTCATAACCAAAGCGCCTGGGTTGTGCAATCCTCAGTGGTGACATGACCTAGAAGTGCGCTCAATGCGACGAACTCATACTGCCCAGACCCTTTCTGAACCGTATCCGCCCAAGGCAGCCCTGAGAAGAACACCGCATCCAGACGACCCGTCAATGTCAGATATCGCGATAGTAGAATACGACCACCAAACGCTCCAATCTTTTTCGTCGGAATTGTGTTTACCTTGGCGCAACCAAAAAACAGGGGCTCTCTTTCTTGCCCACCCAGGATCTGGCCTGGATGGAGGACAACATGAACGACTCCTGTCGGATCTTATAACAGCATATCATATCCTTCACAGCCACGAGGTACTTGATGAACATGGCCAAATTTCCGTCCGCAATCCACGGGAGCCTTCCAAACTCTTCATCAGCAACACTCCGGCCATCCTCGTCTCTTCGAAGAGCGATCTGAGCCAATGGCACGTCACGGACGGCTCTCCTGTGGCGAAGTGTTATGACGGATGCGGCCAGGTCGAAGAAATCCCTCAATGGTCCGAACATTACGCCCGTAGCTCCGTTTACAATATATATCCAGGAGTACAAAGTGTTATTCATTCACGCTGCCAAAGCGCGATTGTTTACGGCCTGTGCAACAGTTGGAAGAGCATGCTGCAACCCAGCTATCTGATGGCCGGCTTTCTCCGCACCTCTCCTCCAATTTTCGACCTTCAGACGACTGCCATGAATCAACGAGACTCGACAGACTTGGAGATCGTCTACCTCTCGGAAAAGGAGGCTCGAGATTGCGAGAGTAACGATAAACCGTTGTGATTCAAAGCACTGGTTGTCGTGGCTAGTAGAAGCCGAAAGGTGTGGACGCTATCGGAATGATATGAAAGCGAGCCTACGCACAGGTTTAAAAAAAATCCCGGCTCGTCCTACGCTACCATTCCCAGTGGACTTCGGTATTGTGGAAGTTCGGGTGTTGCCGCTGCCCTCGGCCGAAGAGGTGGTAGGAAGGTTTTATTATATGCCGTCCGATATCTTACTTGTCACTGTTATCACATGATGCAAATGATAGGATTAGCCTTTGCTCTTGATCGGCATGTATGCTTCAAAAGTTCCTGATCAAGGAATAATGAGTTCGTGTATATTTATCGACCGCATCGGCTGTAGGATTATAAATGTAGCCAAACTTTCGGCTAGTGGACCCAAATAATGTGGGCAGTCCGGGCAGAAGTCAGCTATTGTATGTCGGACGCTAACCACAATCCCGGTGGGGGTTTTGAGCGCATGGAAGCTAACGGTCTTTGTGGATGCAATTTTCTGAGTTCGCTGGGGCGATTAACCGTGGACAGCATTCGCGGTGGATGCTGGGATTCCGTCCCCTCGGGTTAGACACTCTCCCAGTTTTGGAGGTGCGATGACAGAATGAAATATCGAGGCCTTCGACGTTTGAGTTGCTCCGCCGTGCCCCGTCGAGGCCCCTTAACTTGTTTTTCCACTTAGTCCCTCGCCTTTCCTCCCTTATTCTGGCTTGGTCTTGAATGGATCTGTGTAAGGATAAAGGCTCAGGAAACGGTTAAAATCCAGCTTTTCTTAATCCTTTAACAAGCTTTCCCAACGTCAGAGCATCACAATCTGGATGTCGGTTGTATCGGCGTTGAGAACCCTTCACAGAGTTCAAGGAGTCCCGAAAGCATGCCCAGGAATTCGGTCAAGATGTCCTGCCGACGAGACTGAATTTTATCTGGACAGTATCCCAGTGTATTCAGTCTATTTCGTGACAACGGACTTACCCTTAATCCAAAGTAAAACTCGCCCATCCCGGCTTTCAAGCCCACACTCGGTCTCCAAGATCGCGATTTTCGTCAGGTCCTTGAACTCGTCCGACTTTCTGACCCCCCAACGAATGAAGATCCAAGAAGCCAAATCCGGGTGAGGTTTTCGAGGGAGTATTGGTCGGAGAGATGCCACTCTCAAAGGCCGAGTTCTGGGATTGCGTTGTCAAGGACCATGGCATTGCTTCGTTGGACGACATATATTAGTACTTGCAGGTGTCACGTCACCAGGTATATACATGAAAAAAAGGCAATGTTGAAATATTGAATAGATTCACACCCATACCACAATATATCGTTGCTGTAGAGCCGTCGGAAAAAGGTCTGGCCGTCATGCCTCTTTAGGAAAGTGATGTAATTGTACAAGCTCCGGCGCCCAAGGAGAGTGTTTATTGCGTTCAATCTGAAGAGTGACGCTCCTAGGTGATTGGTTTGCAATAACTACCGGTAAGGGATCTTTCTGAATGACCATACCACGGTTCACCTGCGACATTAGTCGGGTCTGGCGATATGTGAAGTTTCACTCTTGTGAAAACTTTTCATGAGAATCTTTATCTGTGATTGAGGGGCCTAACTACTTAGGCAATATAGGAAGCAGCTCTGACAAAGTTACGTAGCGCCGGTAAAATCGATCCGTAAACGTATGATTCTCGAAAGAATAAAGTAAGGTACCGAACAAATAATAACGTAGTGACTAAAGAGGACAAAGCGTCTACACTCATTATCTAAAGTGGAATCCCATGCTAAGTGTGGTTTTAGGTTGTTCTCGATAGTCGCAAATAGAAGGTGTTGCTCGAGGAAGAGAGACTATCGAAAGCCGTTTCTGCAAAACCGGCGTTAGAGGCTCGTCCCACCTATCAGGTTATCTTTTCAGAGCAAAGAGAACTAACAAACTGCATTGACCAAAAGTCGGTCTTTGGCTGCTGATGGCGCATCCACTCACTCGTGGCTATCCTTAAAGAGGTCGAAGCCACAAACGTCTTCGTAGTGTTCCCGGGAATCCACGACTATAACTAGCGATGATATAACCACCAATCACAATAAGCAATGATTCTTGGCTCCCTTGGCGTAAAACGGAGAGGAAGACCAAAAAGTACATAGAGATCTCTTCTCCAACCTTCCTTTCCTTTCTCATCCAAGTTTTTAGTCATCACAACATATCCTTCGTTTCAATCATGCCGCCGATTTCACTGTTTACACATTTGCCTCCTTCATCAAGCGTGGAGGCAGATATAACGCTTTTACTTACTTGAGCCAATTCAAAAGCCGCTTCTAGTATGGCCGGGTGTCCGAAAATCAGCTCCTCACGAACTGGCTTATAATTCTGAAACTTTTTGATACTTTAAGCCCTCGTGCGACTCATCAACAACGCTCTAGATGTAATGTGCATCCCTATGCAGAGAAACGCCCTGGACATGCCTGCCAATCCAGCACACTGACGAAGATAGCCCACGGGAGGGTGGGAAACTGATAGCTTAGACACTGAATGCTCCATATACCCGTTGATTATATAAAATTACCAAGTCCGGTGGCCCATAACACGCAGAAAATGTATGCTTCTTCCTCTCTTCAGTACCCTTCACTAATCGCATACTACGGTGAATGTTTTCGATCTAGCTGCGTGTACAGAGGATTGTAGGCTCTCTTTTCGTACGACCCTGCCTGCGATTATGTCCCTGGAGCTTTTCCCTTACTGTTTGAAGGGCAGTATTTGAGATCCGTCATCCATTTCTCCAATGTCCGCATCCCGAAACTACATTCCACCAACTCGACCCATACAACGTGTTAGGTGCTATGGGAAACCCATCACCGATCAGATCCTGCGTCCCCAAGCCGAACACAAACAACGCGCACAGTCAAGATGTCGTTCAGTTCCCCACGTCCCAGTCCTCCCGCGACGAGATCGACACATCTTCACCTTAGCCACCAGCCCTCGTCGTTGGGTTCCAGCAGAAGTCGCACATCACACGCATGCGACCGATGCAGGGTCATGCGAGCCAAATGCTCAGTGGGTGGTCGCTGTACGAGATGCACCAAGGATGACGCTGTGTGTAGATACGGAGATCGCAAACGAGAGCGCAACAAAAAGTGGGTCAAAGCCGATGATTGTCGCCGGCGCACGAGGTGCTGACTTTGAAAAGAGACCTTGTCGAGAGTCAAGACCGCGTCAGAACCTTGGAAAGTGAGAATCAGAAACTCATAAATGCACTTCGTTCTGTAGTTCAGAACGCCTCAGCCCACGGAGCCACGCATCAGGATGCGAGAGATTACTGACAACGGTAGTTTGACCGCCGCGAAACACGCGCATGATTTCTAATATCGTTCTAGTTCTCATCGCAATAGGGAGAAGAGTGTGGCCAACATTCAAGGAGCCGATCCCAGAGTCTGGTTGCTTCGTCCAAGCAGGGTAATACACCTCAGGATCCATGGGCCGAGACCGCTAACCTTTCAGTCGCGGCGTCGGGCGCAATCACCGCAGCTTCAAGTGCTGGCTTTTCCGGAAAACACGGCGATCTGCATCGCGTGGTGGACTTGAACCATGGCGTGGGTGCCTCAGGCTTCATCGGCAAAACGTCTGAAGTGTCCTGGCTCCAACGAGCCTATGAATACCTCCATGTGCCGGGAGGCACGATACGAGGGGCTGTGCGCATGTCGAGGTTAAATCCAAAGCCTTCAATTACTTCATGGACGACATCAACTTACTGGAAATTGACGAGGACCATGTGGACCCGTATGATCGACCGTCGTTTGAGGCAGCTGTAATCTTGGCAGAGGCATGTTTTCATTCCATCCAAGGTGCCTTCGAATTTGTCAATCGCGAGAAGTACCTCCACACCATGATCAACTCTCCGAGTGCGACGGCCATACCATCCCAATCTGAGCGGCGATGGTTGGCCGTGGCTAATCTTTGTCTGGGCGGTAGGGGCCAAGTGGCTGCAAATCACGAAACCGAACTATTCTAGCGGACCAGAGAGCCATCTTCTGTACTTTGCGAGAGCCCGAGCTCTCGGGTTGGACCACAGGATCTTGTTTGACCATCCGGACATTGCTCGGGTTGAAGAAATTGGGCTCCTCGCATTTTATCTGCTTATGAACGGGTCCATTACGAGGTAGGTTGTCACGGAAATTGTCCTCTCACTTTCTTGCTGAAGTTTTGGAAACAGAGCATGGAATATTTCGGGCCATGTCGTTCGTCACGCCACCGCTCTCAGACTGCACCTGAGAGCGTCCGACCCGAGCATTGATGAAACAGATAGACAACGACGTGCTGGAATATAGCATTCACTTTATAGCCTGGAGGCTCTGATGGCTAAGATCACTGGTCGACCAAAGGCGATATGTTTCTCTGATATAACGGCGCCAACTCATCTGTACCAGGGATTGGAAAATGAAGCTAGTGAAAGTCTCTTCCGCCATGACGAGCTCGTCGCCGCGGAGCAATCTCGAAGCCTTTGGCTTCACTTCTTGAATACGAGCCGCGACTTATCCCGAAGTATGGGGGCGATGGATCGGAAGAGCATTGCCTGTATAGGCCGCGGTATATCGCCATCCTACTTCCATCATCGAGTGTTGCTCTGCCGTATTAGCGATCGGATTGCGGCGCAGCTATACTCTGGGACATTAGAAGATTCCTGGGCGACTCCGCAACGCAAGATCCGCGAACTCCAGAGAGAGCTGAGTTCATGGGCCGATAACCTCCCAGAAGACCTGGCCATCCATAATCAGGTACCTATGAAGACCGATCCACGGGTCAAGGTCGAATTGTCCATGTACTATTACAGCATACAGATGATTCTATACCGACCGTGTCTTTGCGAGGTGATCTTTGAGAACGAGTCCTCACAGTCTCGGGAATTCAATCGCGAGTCCGCGCGTGCCTGCGTTTATGCCGCCATCTCGCTGCTTGGCGTCATGGCGGACAATCCCAGCGCGCATGCAGCATATCAGCTACTCCCCTTCTGGACGCTACTTCATTATGTAGCACCAGCAGCGACTGTGTTGCTGCTGGAGTTGTGCCTCGACCATCAGCATTTTACCGATGAGCACATAGACCCTCTGCCAAACATTCGCAAAGCAATGGCATACCTATGGTGCATGACGGAAGACTCACTGTCTGCGTTCCATGCGTGGAGGATTTTTCGACTGCTGCTATCCGAGATTTCCTGCAAATATGAAGACCTCAGTTTCGCCGACATTCCGGAAGAAGCGCCACAGCCGATCGGATGGACGATTGAGAGTGAATTATCCTTCTCAAGGGCACTTGTCTCTTGAAGGGCACCAAGAAATTGACCACGTCTTTTCCCGAAGCATGGAGTAATGTAGTTCGCCGTTCATCTTTTCAAATACCGCATCGTCGAGATCCTGCGGAGACATGCACGGTATTCACAAATCGAATGGGGTCGGGAAGGCTTCTGGAATCACAAGTCTCCACAGTGCTCCTACCCTCTTCCGAAAGGGAGGCAGGCATAGTCCCCTCGATACTTCCTTTACTGCCTTACGCTACCTGTTTCCATGGTCAAGGTTTCCATCATACTCCGGATTCACTATTGGAAAATGGTTATATGCAGCATGGCTCTATCAAGGACAGACAAAGAGTTGCTGTACTGAATGTGTTGCATTAAAGACTAGGACGAGAGCAATACCAATTCTCATGCCGTATCTCGCAAACGCTATCATCCATTCCCGCTTTGCCACCTGTTGGCAATAATCCCTTGCCGAACCAGTCATGAAGCTCTAAATTGACGGAGACGCACTTCTTCTCCAGCCCCTCGTCCCCCCTTCCCCCCCCCCCCCCCCCCAACCCCCTCCTCTTGTGCGGTACACACGAATATCCACCCAGACGTTCAACCCCAGGATTGTATTGAACGCATTCAGGCTGACGTCTGCTCTGTCTTACTTCCCCAGTCATGATGCTGATAATGAACACGACCTGGACACCTGAAGTACTGTAGTCTCCATCCACGTTGGTAGAAGTGTAGCGCCAACCATTCTCAGAGCATCCACCAGGTCGCCAGCGCCCCTGTATGCCTCAAAGGCGTTGAATTTGGTCACGCCGCTTTCAAACTTCGTGAGTCTCCAGCGCCAGTTTCGGTGTGTTTCCTCGTCTTCCCCCACCCAAGAACAGGGTCATCCGGGTTATTCTGTCAGAAGGCATCCCTAGCCTGTCTAGAAGGAGCTCAAGAATTGCGTCCCTTTGCTCGACGATAGCCCAGGACAAAGGTGTCATGCCTTCTACATCGGGGACGTCAACACGAACCAGAGGATTGGCCAACAGTGCAGCCACAGCAGATGGTCGATCATTGAACACTGCCCACCCTAGGGCCGTCTGACCGTCCAAGTCTTGGTTGTTAACGTCCAGGTCCGGGCGAGTGAACAACTGCTGAATCACCTCCGTCTGTCCATGTTCTGCTGCCAGCGAGAGAGCGGTCTGCCCATAGTCGTTTTTGAAGTTTATGTTGACCTCAGATCTTTGAAGCAAGCGGAAAATTATGAACGAATGGCCTTGTTCTGCGGCGAGCAACAGGAGCTTTTCCTTGGGCGTTTTGGACTTTTCATCCATATGTGGGACTCTTGTTATATACCTCTAAAGTGTGTAGAGCGGGGAGGGGCGAGGAGTTTGATTAGAGCCTAAGGTGAGCCAATGTCTTCATCTGCCCTACGTCGCTCCAGGTGGACAATTGAAAGGGATTAAATAATGGGTAACCTCCAGCGACATCATCTTTTTATGAGGCGGGGAACACAACAGAGCCGAATGCTGTACCAACAGTCGTGACTCTCTTATCACATACATGCCTTGGGCCACGTCTATCCTCATGATGTCGGAGAAGTGCGAAGCTCAGGTGGCTTCGAACGATGGCCTACCGCTAGACACCGCCCATTCCACTCAACCCAAGTCCTTACTATGCCCGCCTCCAATTCTCTGAGAAGGTGGTCGATAGTCCGGAGATTTTTTCCCAGGTGGTCGTGAAGCCCCACGAATTGGCTTTCGCCCCTTCAGAAAACGCGCATTTCAATGTGTCAAATGCAAACTAGCCGGCCGTCTAGACGCACCCTCCCCCTTATGATGTCGTCACGGCGAATGATTGCCAATCGAGCTCTTGAGTAGGTGCAGCTGCTTCTCACCAGATCATTTGATCGCCGAACACACTAAGGAGGGAAAACCCTATCCAGGCGCGAGCCACGGGTTCCCTACCCCTTTTTGAGGTTGGGGGAAGGGGGGAGCCCGGGGGGAGCCCAAACTCACAGGCATGTGGGCATCCAACTCTCCCGTGACGTTTCTATCCTCACTGTTCTGCCCTTGCGGGACCTTTCTCCGAAGCACGATCACTGTTCTAACGTGATGGATCCTTAGCCGTAGATAACGACTTGGCCACCCAGTGTCGACAAGGCCTTTGAAGCCGCTATTTTCGTGTCCATCATCGACGAAGTCCTACGACTACATCTCTACAATATGACCCTGATATTTGATTCAACTCTCACTCTTGATCTCTCGCTCCGCCTCCCTCGTCGATTCCCTGTATGTCGAAGTAATTACGCTGAGGAACGAGTTGCATCCGGCACAGCTTCTGCGCCCGGCATGCACCGAGTACCGCGGTCGATTCTTGTCTCGCCGTCATAACCGCAATGGCAAGCCACCAATCACAAATCGCGGTGAAGAAGTCTGTCGCCGCGATCGACGTACTCGAGGCAGTTTGCAGAAACATACAGTCCTGCCGAAAACTTTAATTCCTGGTCCCGGAATCTCTATCCAGCCGAGATTTGCTCTTTGCCCATGTACTCCGCTAAGCGGCAGCGGAATCGAATAATGACCCCAGCACAAGTCAGAGGCGATCATCTTGTTGTGGCCTTGACGAAAAAGTGGACAGAAACCATCTAAGTTTGTCGTCAGCCGATTAATTCTTTAGTTGTACCACCAGCAGCCTCCCCGGGCGCGAGAGGGGTAAAAGATACCCAGCAGCAAAAGACCAAAAAGCCGATACGGTATCTTGAGTCGACCGGTCGTCTGACGTAAGCCCTGCACAGTGTGGTACACCTTCGCTCTCTTCACAACAACTATTCAGGCATGTCCCCGTTAGGATAAACAGGAAAATCCGCTATCCATGGGCATAAACAGTTTTATGTCAGAGAGTGCGAGTGGGATCGACGAAGGCCTCCCACAGGCGAAGCATGTAGGCAGAAAGGAAAGAAGATTGGAGGCAGCTCTTCTCTCGCGCATGCTGATATTGATGAAATATTGAAGGAGGAGCCTTCAAGAGGCGCACGCGCGCCTTTCCTTATCAATCTCGACATGGATGTCGCCTTAGTCCAGAAAAATGATCTCCCAACTGGTGAGAACCTGGAAGCATTCAACGACAGAAACACTCTTGATTGCTGGAAAGGATATCCAGGCACCACCGCAAGGGGGGGCTGAACCTCTTCCTAATGGCCTCACAGCACACCACCCGAAAGACCTCTCAAGGCCAAATCACACTACGTCGCTCGGCGCAACATCCGCGAGCACGACAACCATGACCCAGGGGATCCCACAACCCATGTATTACTTGATTTGGGGCCGATGAACAAGCCGCGCCGTGTTTTCTCGCGTGAGATCTCTCTGCAAAGCACCCCACGAGATGAGGTCATGGTGCACGAGGTCGAGTTTGGTATTAAAGAAATGCATGGGATCGGCCCTGGTTAATTCGGAAAGATTAATACCACCAGCCTTAAAACACTTTTGCAAATAGCCCACGACCCCAAGTGCTGGAGGTACAAGAATACAGAACGCGCCACGACGAACAACATACATATTGGTTGTCCCCTCTGTGTCTTTCCATGGAAGAGGCCAACATGCTCGACTCGACGCTGTCGGCCCTCATCACCGCTTTCCACATCCTGCACCGCTACAAGATCCTCGACGAGCACGGGCACATCTCGGTGCGCCACCCGACGGACCCGTCGACCTTCTTCACCAGCAACGTGCCCGCTATCTTGGTATTCTCCAAGCGCGACCTCAATCAATGGCGGGTGCGTGACGGCTCGCCCGTCACGGAGTCGCACCCCACAACAGGGTGCCAGATCGTGGAGGCGGACAAAGTGCCCGAAGGCTCGGAACATTACCTCCACAGCTGCGTGTATAACGCCTATCCCGGTGTCCTGAGCGTGGTGCATTCGCACGCCATCGAGGCCGTCGTGTTTGGCCTGTGCGATGCCTCGGGGAGCATGATGCAGCCGAGCTACCGGGATGCTGGCTATCTGGGCCCTTCGTCGCCCATCTTTGACGCCGCGAAACACTACGGCTCGCTACCGTGGTCGCATCGGCAGAATCTGCTCATCGATCACGTCCGCCTGGGCGACGCCGTGGCCAAGACATTCAACGGCGTCGACGCCTCCTCCTCCCCCTCCTCCCCCTCCTCCACCGCGGTTCCCGCCCACACCGTCGTCTTCGAGCGCGGCCACGGCTTCGACACCTGGGCCGAGAATATTCCCGACGCCGTGTGGCGCGCCATCCATGTGCGGCGCAACGGGCTCATCCAAGCGGCCGCCATGGAACAGCGAGGGAGCACGGATCTGGAGGTCATCTACTTGAGTGATCGGGAGTGCAGGGACTGCAAGGATACGACGAACAGAGCAACGCCTTTGATATGGAAGGCCTGGGCGGCCGAGGTGGAGAGGTCGGGAATGTACCACAATGAAATGAAGGGCCAGCGCCAGAGATAAGAGAGCCGCGCGCGGGCAGACAGTTGTCTCGTGGATGTACCTCTTCCGAAGGACATGGCCTATCGGCGCCCCTCCCCAGGGAATGGAATGCTGCTCCGCGACCTACCATGCTGCTGGGAATTTGATGTCAGGACAGGGTTAGGCGGACCGAGAATAGGCAATGGCCCTTCGATCACACACGCCTGAAGGTGGAAGAGGTCATGCTTGCCAGCGCCACACCGATGCTGCGTGCTGCGACATCGCCGAGTTCGGACAGAAGAATTCAGGCTTCATAAAGGAGTCGAACCAGCTCTTTGTGCCAGCAAAGAACCAAGGCGAAGCTGAAGTTCAGCGCCCAGGTCACGATTACAAAACCCCAAGGTGCTGCCCCCCCCGGGGGGCGGCCTCTCCCCCGGCGGGCGAGGGACAAAATTCCCGAGCAGAAGGCGTTCACTCCTGTATGGGGTGCACATTGTGGCAAGGTTACCTGCGAGGATTCAACGCTCTACGGCCCAACCTATGTCCCACGGCGAGCATGGGAATGAACTCGGCAACTAAGCCTGTCACTGAGGTTGCTTGCTTGGTACTTGACGGTGTCCTTCAGTGTCAATTCTGATTCGTTTCTAGTTTACACTTAATGCACCAGCGTTATCGGATTGTCTAAGTTGAAGTAGTGGTGTACTAAAGTTGAAATTCATCCGTTCTAATCTTTGTGTGACTTTGATCCCTTTCTCCAGCTGTCCGCATTAACGCAAAAAAGTTCAAGTGTAGATTGTAGTGGTGTTAGGGGGCCAGAAATCTAACGCCCCTTGAGTTGCACGGCGAAGTCACCTCGCGTGCGAGCGAGAGTCTCGTCCACCAGCTGTTTCCTCCAGGGCGGCAGGTCAAATATCTGGCCGTGGTCGAGGTCCGGGCACCACACCACGTTCAGCCTGTCGTCACCCCGATAAATGTCCTTTTCTACTATGGACTTTTCAGAACCGTAGTCTTCCGGCAGGACATCGCCGTTGACGCTAACGCGCTCGGTCCTACTTCCCTCGCCTCCCCCGGGTGATTGCAGGTATTCGTAAACGAGGGGGGCGTTGATGATTGAGTCTTTGCCGACGAGGAAGACGGTGGCGTGATGGCTCAAGAGGTCGTTCTTCCATAGGATGTTCTCGGACCAAAAGAACGTACGAGAGAGCGTGTGCGCCACTCCCATATCCTTAGAGCCAAAGTACCACAGTAGCCATTCGTTGGCGAGCTTGGGTTTGCGTACAATCTAGTTTTAGTATTAGCCTAATACCCCGTGTCGACCCTTACGGGATCGATTTGGAGGGAATTATCTTACAAAGTTATAGGCAACATCCGGTTGATGAAGGAGGATGGACACCGGGTCGACAAGGACGACTGACGCGATCATCCTCGCTAGTTCAGGCGTCTTCAGAAGATGTGTGGAGATCACCGAGCCATACCTAAGGAGTAAGGTTAGTAAGGGATCTAGATGGGAAGAGAGGGTGGACGGACGAGTGTGACACTAGGACGAACCGCTCAAACCCATGGTGCTGTAAGATAATCCGAAGCTGTCGACACATTTCTTGCTTCCGAGGCAAAGGCGACGTAATTCGAGACGAGATAGGTAGCATCTCAACGGCAAGGATCCCAATGACGCCATCCTTAGCCTGACGTCCTTGATTCAATTCCTTCATAAATTCCATATAAGGGTATAGGCCGACTCCGATACCGTGGAGGAAAAGAATCGGCAGCTCCGTCCGAGAGGTATGAGGGCGATACCAGTAGGTTAGATTCTTAGTAGGAGAACGGTGGGTTGTTAGGAGAGATAGTGGCCGCGGAGGGAAGACGTCGAAAAATAATTGCCTAATCGAAGTACGGTAGTGGTGGAAGTCGTGGAAGCCTAGGTAGGCATGCGTAAGGACGTCGACGACGGAGATACACAGCAAGGACATTAACACTAGTCATTCGAGAACAGAGGGAGCGGGAGCCTTACCCAGTACCAGACTAGACTTCGATGGAGGGCGTCGACTTTATCCAAGGTCAACCGGAGACACTTGACATCAGCACGCCCGTGCTCGAAATTGAGCCCCGCGCGACGTTCGAAGCTCTGCACATATTCTTCCACTTCATCATCGTAGGCGGTATCAGTTAGGTCGGTGTTGAAAAAGGCCCATCGGAAGAAATCTTTGACATTCTCGCGCTTAAGGGCGGTTAGAGGGGTATAGAGGAACCAGCCTGATAGGTATCGGATGGCATCCTGCGTGCTCTCCTGACAAAGGCGGAAGAGTTTCTGCCGCTCCTCTTTCGATAGAGCAGGAGGATGGACGGCCGGACGCTGGAGTTGATGTCTCTTGTAGAGATAAACCAGATAGAAGACGGTCTCTGCCACAGCCCAATATTCGAAGAAGATGGGAAGTCGCCAGGATTTCGGCAGACACCATGTTAACAACATACAATAGACGACACAGACCGGGGCAATTGAATGCAATATGATGACCCATGACTTGACCCAGATATAGTCGAACGTGGAGCTTCCGATCATGGCGAAGTGATTGCGGATGAATCGTTGCGGGATCGAATTGCTTTTCAAAAGGAGTTGAGTTCTAGGTTGATGGGATGGTCCATGGCCGAAACTTTTCCAGCCTTAAGAACAGTCGTAGATAAACACTCACATGTAAAGCGCGACATTCTGTTGGGACGTGGCGGATTAGCCATAAACATCATAGAAGCATAGAAGACATGTGCTGGTGGCGGGAAAAGGTACGACAGCAATCCGATTTTGCATGTGGCATGTGGAATTCCTGGAAGATATTTCCGAACGTCTGCTTCGCATGACTAAGACGTGAGGATGGCGGAAAAGCTGACAGCCTGCTCCTTCAGGTTTTCATGTTTTGTTTCTGAACACAGGTAAGGAGTTGGTCTTCGCCATCGATGCATGGCGATTCATACGTGAAGAAGAGGCGACCGAGGTACTCAGCTGCACTGATTGTCCCTGGGACTCTACTCCTGATGGATGGATATTGTTTAACGATATCATGTGCATTCATTAACTCACCCACGATTTGAAGAATCTTTGGTTTGGACTGTGACTGACGAATCTCTCCCATTTCTTCCTCTTGGATCTACTACTTGCCATCCATTTCCATTTCCTCCATCTCGAATGCCAGCTGTCGCTTCTTCATCGCGTGTATTTTCTTCTTCTTCGCCAGCGCGGCCGCTTCTGGATCCTAACCCTGAGCTGGAGCCGGAGCCGGAGCCGGAGCCAGAGCTGGAGCTTGAGCTTGAGCTTGAGGCTACTGCGCTTGTGTAGAGTTCTTCACTCGGCCAGCGTGATTTGTGGCCGGCTGACGCGCAATCGAATACGCGGGCCGCTATTCTGGTAGCTAATGTCATCTTGATATCCAGCCTCCTGCGCCTCCGTCTCGTGCTTCGGACCTGGACTTCGCGATTCCACTCCAGAGCGCTTCTTGAATGGCTCTTCGCTGCCTATCCGAACGAGGGAGGGGGACGAGAAAGTAGTCGAAAGTCGAAAAGGCGTCAAAGAGGGAACGGGCGACGCGCCGCTAATTTTAGGTCCTAGCTAGCGCTATATACGGTGGAGTATATTTAGGATAAAGGGTGAGTGTGAAGGTGAGCGAGGTGAGTGCGTAGGTGAGAGAAAGGTGAGTAGTTATAAAAGCGGCACGGCTGGGGTGAGTCGCACGTGAGCTCCGAGCAGGTTTTACTCATCTTGACCCGCCAAGCCCCAGACCGCCATCTCGACCTCGACTCCGGTCCTGCACATAACACCCTCTCACTCTGACGCTCTGTTGTTCTCCTTCTCCTCCTCACCCATCGACTGCGGAATGGGAAAGCGTTGCACTTCCATCTGTCCTAGCCATGATGGAAGCGACGCAGGCTCGCCGCACTCCGCGGCAGAGCGGCTTGGGGCGATTTGATACCTCGCCTTCCAACGAGTACTCACACTTGATCTTTGTCCTGTATAGCCCCAATGCCGGGGTCTCATCGTCTTGAGACTATTGGAGTAACAGCAGCACCAAAGCTGCTCTTTCTATGCTCTGTTCCGCGTATATACATTTCAACATCCACAGAACCTGTACGTTATCCTGCCGTCGTCCTCAAGAGCTTGGGTTGACAGAACATAGAATCATGGCAATGCAACACCTCGCCCCAGAACTTCTCGTCCGCGTTTTCGAATCCCTCTCCTCCGTCTCAGATATCATCAACCTGTCTCTGACCTGTCGCTATTTCTACGAAATCCTCCCAAAATCGCAAAAGCTGGCACTCTTCTTCAGCACAATAGATGAAACAGATGGTCCAGTCGAAGATATTATACAACTCCTGACCCAAAACAACAACCAAATGCTACATATTCGGCGATCTCCGCCTCTGTCTTTTGCCTTGCTCTCGCAAGTCACGGCCGTTGCCCGTGTGGCACAGCGATACGTGGACCTATTCCCCGCCTTCAAGTGGCTGGAGGCAGAGAGCGTCAACCGAAGAGTTCTCGACCGCTACGAAGCCCGTCGACTACGTCGCGCAGTTTACCGACTATGGAGCTACGCCAAAGCATTCAATCAATTTCCTTATCGCACCGCTCGCACCGATGCAACAGCCACTGCGGAACGACTTCAGCTCCTGCGCACGTGGTCGAACGACGAACTCTTTGAGCTAGAGGATTTCCGTGGTCTGCTCGAGCAGCTGCTCGCCACGGACATCTGTCCTACTGACGGAGAAGTGTATTCGCGGATACCCGATGATGCACAAAAGTTTCATCTGTCGTTGCAGTATCCTTACCTTCGTCCCGTCTCATCCACCCCGCAAGCATACGACGATCTTTTCCACAGTTCCCGTAATTGTGATCATGATTTGCACAAACCGACAGTCCAGGAACTTCGGATTAGGCACATGCAAGGATGGGGCAGTGATCTGCAAAACTTCTACCTGATTCAATCGTTCTTGAAATTTTCACCTGCGCAGATCCTGTGGCTGTTCGACAATGCAGTGTACCGCGCAGACGTGGAACGATTTATCGAGCAACAGACCCACGATCCGTGCTTCTTCGAGAGTGGATCCATGTTTTTCCAAGACTGGGTTACCGTGTTGCATACGCGAGGTGTAGATGTGCAACAAGCACGCGAATCCATCTGGCAGGAGAAGGCAGGAGTCGTGGTACCCACATGATAAGGCAGAGCTCGGATTGCTTGATAGAGAACAGCAGGAGCGGAAAAAGCGACCTGCGACTCGCAAGGCTGACGTCTGGAATAGGCAGGAAAGTACCTACAAACTAGAATAAATCAATTATTTGATTGAACTGGAAATTCTCTGACGTTGCAAAGTACATACAAAGCACAAGTCCCTTCGGTTTACGGTATTGACCAAGGTCTTTCCAAACCCTCTCTGCGTACAGTAGGACTCCAGTAAATCTTCTGTGGCGTGGTCGGTGCCCTCCAACTCTTTGGACGGCCGTGTGCGCTCCCACCAAAGTCCATCTTGCGTCGTCCTTGAAGCCACCCAGGCGCATTCTAATCTGTGCATGACGCATTCTGTGTTGGCAGAACAGCCATGATGCGCAAGGAGAGATTCTCGGACGAGCGCCTATGCCTTCTTCTCCTTGGCGTGTGCCATCAGAGCCTGGCTCGCCCCGCCTGCTCCGGGGACGAGAACTCAAAGCCGGGATATCCCTCGGTGATTTCCCTCTCGCAGTGAGCGAAGTACGGGGCCACGCCGCCGAACCAGAACAGCGGCCTCACCGTCTTGCCCTCGAGGTTCGCCCCGATGTACCACGAGCGAGTCTCCTTCGCGCCCTCGGGGAGCACGGTGGCGTTGAAGGCGGCGTCCACCTGCTCGCTCCAGGTCTTCGCATAGTCCTCCTTGGTGTCCACGCGGCCGTAGCCGTTCGACCGCATGAAGGAGAGGGTCTTGCCGATCCAGTCCACGGTGTTGTCGATGATGACGGGGATGTTCGCAAACGGGGCCTGCGGGCCGGACACCATGAACAGGTTCGGGAAGCCCGGGGTGGTGATGCCGTACGCGGTCGCCATGTCCTTGTCCAATTGCTCCGCCAGCAGCTGGTGCTGGCTGCCGCGAAGATCGATCTGCGCGAGTGTCCCCGTGATGGCGTCGAACCCCACGGCGAAGATGATCATGTCAAACTCAAACTCCTTCTTGCCGGTGCGCAGACCCGTTGGAGTGATCTCCTGGATTGGGTCGTCCTTGACATCGACCAGCTCGACGTTGTCCCGGTTGAAGGTCTCGTAGTAGAAGTGGCCGAGAGGAGGCCGCTTCGACAGGATGGTGTAGTGCGGACAGAGCAGCTCGGCGGTTTCCTTGTCCTTGACGATCGATCGGATCTTGTTGCGGACGAACTCGGCCGCCATGTCATTGCATTTGGGGTTGGTCAGCATGTCAGCAAACGTCTCGAAGATGAACCGGAACCCGCCGATTTCCCAGCCGAAGTCCAGCACTCGGTGGACGTCGGCCTCCGTCGCCAGGTCGGTGGACTTGAGCGTGGCGTCGACAAAGTCCATGCCGAAAGATTGGGCCCTGGCTCGCTTCACCACCTCTTCATATTCGCGTCTCAGCGCGACCTGCTGGTCCTCGGTGAGTGGATGGTTGCGTGCTGGGAGGACATAGTTCGGCGTGCGTTGGAAGACAGTGAGGGTTTTGGCGTTGTGCGCGACAATAGGAATGACCTGGACGGCAGTGGCGCCGGTTCCCACGACAGCCACACGTTTGCCCGCAAAGTCAACTTTGTGCTTCGGCCAGAGCCCCGTCTGGTACCATTCACCCTTGAAGGACTCGAGCCCGGGGAAAGGGGGCTTCAGTGGGGTGGCGAGAGGGCCTGTCGCGGTGATCAAGAAGGTGCAAGTGTAAGTGTCGCCTTTGGACGTTGTGACTTTCCACACGTTCTTCGACTCATCCCAATGTGCCGCGGTGACTTTTGTGTTGAACTCGATCTTCTTACGGAGGCCGAGGTGATCTGTGACTCGGTTGAGATAGACTTCCACCTCTGGCTGGGTGGGGAAGCGCTCCTTCCAGTCCCAGTCCAGGCCCAACTCTTCGAGAAAGGTGATAATGTACACCCAGCTCTCGCTGTCGGTTCGGGCCCCCGGGTATCTGTTCCAGTACCATGTGCCGCCGACCCCGGATCCTGCCTCGAATGCTTTGGCGGACAGACCCCGTTTGCCCAACTCGTGCAGCATCCGGATGCCGCCAAACCCAGCGCCAATGACCAAGGCATCGTAATCGACTCCCGCGTCGCCCGTCGTCTCAGAGGTGGTCGGATTGCTTGTTGCCATTGTCCCTGTTCTGCCAGCAAAGAAATGCCGGGATGAAACGTTCGAAGAGTTACGTCCAGGTCAGTGCATATAATGGCAGGGTGTGGGGGGCTAGGTCCATACCACCCTGGGAGCACTGAATTTATCTGAACCATCCAGCAGGGCCTCATAACCGAGGATAAATACGCTTTTGCGGAGTAATCCCCATCGTCCGGGGTCAAGGGGACTGTTGCAATGGTATAGCCTTGCCCCGGCGTATTCATCCTGCTCCACTTCCCCGCACTGCTCTCGCCTGGAGATTGGTGAGTGTGCGAAGGCGTGCTTACCAATGTAACACGCAGGGACAGAGGTGAGATTCAAGAGGGTTGTTGGACGGAAACAGATGAGTCAGGTAAGCGAGGTTTCCGAAATGACTCGCGAGACAAGGTTGGCCCTGGCAATGAAGGGGGTTGTCAGAGGAGGATAAGGCCAATGGTCCATGGACTCGGTCAAGGAGCTCCGTCTCTCCAACCCCGCAACGGTATTGCGACCTCCATCTGTTTCCGGGCTGGAGAAGCCTGTGTAGATAGGTAAAACTCAAGTAGCGAGCTGCGCCCTCGTATGCTCTTGGGTACTTAACCTAGGCAAGTCTGTGAGAATGATAGAGATACATCCGAATAAGTCCGCCCCGAGCTTGGCATCAGCCTTGTTTCTCTTGGCACAGCCCTGCGCCATTCCGCTCCTCCACCAGGGTAAGCGGAAGGTAGTCAGCAATCGTACGGACAAACGATACTGAGACTAATATCCCTCCGTCCTCTGAAACCGCTTGGTACTAAGCTGACTGAGTCATCGGGAGCAGCGCGCGTGTGTCCTGCAGAGACAGTTTCAGGGGCAGAAAGGCCAACATATCTGCGCGTATTGCACGCGGGCCCAACATCGCTGGCGTGGGCTGAGCTGAGATGCTGACGCAACACAGGAGCCCCACGGGTTTGAACTTGTCCGGATTGTTCATGATCACGAGATTGCAACGTTTAAAACAGGCTGAACCAGAGTAGGCTGTGGGCCGAGTTTGAATGGCCCATGTTGCATTGCTTCGCTGACCTCTGGAGGGTAGGCTGCAGGTATGGACCTCTCCCGTTGACATGGGAGAATCTGACAAGGCCTCAACGCAACAAATGGTTCTCGAGGTTCGAAATAGCGTGGGCGAATTTATGACGTTCCGGGATACGGACAAATGAGCCGAGTCGACCTCCCCGAGCATGCGGCCAAATATCATATCTTTACACGATCGCATCCACCAAAGGAAAAGAAACTAGAGCCACTTATCTGCATGGCCTGGCAACCCTCACAGAAGCTTATAGAGCATTACGGATACCAGCAACCCGAAAGACCGATGAATCATAGCTCAGCACTCCGGCTCTCTTGCGGCTACGGGTAGTTTGCTCTAATGTGAAATGACCATTGATCTTTACACTTGAAGCGGAACAATCCCTGCTCTGGAATATCTTGTATCATGCTGCGACATGTCATTCCCTGTGAAATGTGAAGAGTCTGAACGGAAACCTTGAAGGGGAGTCCTCGATTGCAGAACAGAGCAAAAATGCAACTGTCTGGTGTGACCCAAACCACTGTAACCCGCCGACGAACCGTAAGATTCATGATCACATTCAATACATCGTCACCCGGGTCATGCGCAAAGCATGAGAACGCCGTGCTCCTGACAATTACTGATGTTTGGTACTGCGCAATCTAACAGCACTTGTTGCCTTTAGCATCTGGCGCTCCCGAAGGAGTCATGTCGATCTTAACACCGCCAGTTGGTGCCTGCGCCGCATCGCCACTGTCGAGAGCCTTACTCGAGACGATCCGATAGATTTCTTCCCAAGAGTCAGCATTCGTCACCATAGCTTCGCTACACGGACTCACCTGTCAGGATATTCTGAAAAGCCAGTTCGACGTTGCTTGCATCCAGCGCCGAGGTCTCAATGAAAGAGAGGTTGTTTTCACCTAGGCATGGGTCAGCTCAATGAACTTGGCCGCGGAACCACAAGGATACCCACTGGCAAATTGTTTGGCTTCTTCTGTAGGAACAGCACGTAGATGTCGCAGATCACTCTTGTTCCCAACCAGCATGATGACAATGTTGGCATCCGCATGATCCCGCAGCTCTTTCAACCATCTTGTAACATTGTCGTAGGTTTGATGCTTGCTGATATCGTAGACGAGAAGGGCACCGACTGCTCCTCGGTAGTAGGCAGACGTGATGGCACGATATCTCTCCTGCCCCGCGGTGTCCCAAATCTGTGCCTTGATGGTCTTGGTATCGACTTGGATGGATCTGGTTGCAAACTCCACGCCGATGGTAGATTTCGAGTCTAGATTGAATTCGTTGCGAGTGAAGCGACTCAGTAGGTTCGATTTACCGACGCCTGAGTCTCCGATCAAAACGACCTTGAAGAGAAAGTCGTATTCGTCGTTCGCCATGACCAAGAGGGATAAGGCGAACCTCGATCACACACCGGAAGATTGGGTGCGGTAAAATGGACAACGCGGTTCTCGGCAACACGAAATGGACCAACGGACGAGCAATTGACAGTTTGGAAGCGGCCTCAGAAAGGTGCGAGCACCAATTCAGTTGATGTGGTGTTATTAAGGCCCACACGGAGGTTGAGTGATGGCTCAGGAGGACAATCCCTAGAGCGCAGCCTGGCAACTATCTTGGCGTTCACGTGATGAGGTTCCAAAATTCACGCCACTCGCAATCTCCGATACATAAACCTCGATGCAGTCCACAATGATGGTTAATATGTTTGTTTGACCTACTATGTTTGACAAACCAAAACCAACAACCGTCAACTTGTGTTGAAAGAAAGTGTTTGCTGCGGCGTGAGCTGTTTGTACTAGCCCTGACCTTTCCATCTAACATTCTCATAGTGGAGCCCAGAGTCCTGGACTGCACTGAGTATTGGGGGTTTCACCCTTGAGCGATGACTGGATTCAACGCTAGGATTTGTTCAGCTCGGATTCGTGGACAGTAAGGCAATATGTCCGATCCCGGCGACGACAATACCGCTGCGTACGACCAAGAGTTCGAAGTCGAGCGGATTCTCGCTGAGCGTGAGCGCAATAGCGAGACTAAGTATCTCGTCAAGTGGAAAGGATATGGTGATGAGGAATCTACTTGGGAGCCTAAAAGGCATTTTATCGGCCGGAAAATTCTGAAATGTTGGGCGAAACAGCGAAAGAAAGGGGATTTTCTAGACGAGCAACAGCTTGAATCGCTTGAAGGGCGTATGAAAGTTTTCGCAGAAGCAAAAGCGCGGAAAGAACGTCGGGCGGAATTGAGACGACTGGCCGGATGGGATGTCTCGAAACGAACATCCAGTCGGATGCCAAAGTCCGAGTCGCCAGAAACTCCATCCACTGCGAAGCGACCACGAGGATCTCTACAAACCGCAGACCAGCCAGGAGCCAAGCGACTACGAGCATCTCGTTCACCACCTATCAAATCTCGTTCACCAACGATCAAACCTCGTTCACCAACGATCAAATCTCGTTCACCAACTATCAAAGATGAAGCTGCAGAGGGCTCCGGAGTGATGGAGGCGGATCCTGCACAGCTGCTACATCGACCAAATCCAACGGTGACGAAAGCAGCCTCCACGCAGGTGACGTCGAAGCAAGTTGGTACAAATCCACCTCTCGCATCAACCGGACATCTGGAAACCGCCCACGCTCCTGTCCCTCCTCTGCCCTTAGCGCAAGTCAGCGGTGTTTCGTGCCCAATGCTGGAAGCGAAGGAAGGAGAAACAAACATTCAGGCCGATCAAGCACCCAAGCAAAATAAAACTTATGTGAACCCGATCCACGAACCCAAACAGAATAAGCAAGGCGGCTCGACCACAAAACCTGCCGGAAAACGGCCGGGGAATGCTGATGCTGCGTCGATCGCAACAAATACGGAAAACAGCAAGGCAGGGCAGAGATTCAAAAGCTTGAGACAACAAAACCAACACGCCAAACTAGCATATCGAGAACCTGCGCCAGATATTTCAAAGCTCGATCTCAGAGAACCGGATGCATGGCCTATAGCCGGAAGTGAGCATGTATCTAAACTTCAAGACGCTGCTCCCAAATTTGGACGCGAAGATTCTCCCCTTTTTGTCCCCGAAGACAATGAGACGGAATTGCCTCACTTAGAGATTCAGCAGACGCGCAAAGAGACGCCCAACAGTCCCACTCCGAGGCTGCCTATTGATGCACCACTGTCAGCCATGGGAATATCCCCAAGCATGCCAACAGCATCCTCGGCACCTGAGAGTCCTCCTGCGAACGAAGTCTCATTGAAGAGGACACGAGGAAACACCTTGATTGAGACGCGACCTTCAACTATCGGGTCCAAGTCACGCGACTCGATACCATCTACGGCACCAACAAACCCCTTCGCTGAAAGACGGCCACCCCCCTCCGGCCAACGTTCGAACAGCGCAAATGTAGCACCAGCGCCAAGGCATGATCATGCCATTGTGGGTTCAACGCCTATTGACACCTCAGCTGTTCAGCCACGACCCGTGCCTGTTTCTGGCGCTCATCATTCCGCTAAAGAGTCGATGATTTCGAGACATGCCCGATCCACTGCTAGAACCACAGATCACGGAACGGCCGTTGATTTGGATGTTTATCTACGTTTTGAGGATCATGATGTAGGTATTGTGACCTTAGCTGGCATACCGAGGTGGCTGGATCGCAAACTTCGAGGCGCAAAAGAACGACGTGCAAGCCTTCTAACAATTGATTTCAAGAAGAACTTGGTTATGAATGCGCAACGGTTTTCTGAGGTTTCTGCATTGGTATGTTATGAAGGATGTCCTTAGTCCTTTTGCCCCACTAATGACCGAAGTTGAAACAGAGGCGGCACGGGACGTTCCCAATCCATGCCTCAGGTGATAGGCTGCCAGCAACGGAAAACCTAAGCAAATATCTGAACGAAAATGACCTCGTCGCCGTCTGGGAATATCCAGAACCCCAGGATAGTCTTATCCTGATTCTGCACTCGAGTCGAACTCCTGCATGGGGAGGCTTCAGGGAAGAGAGGGTCGACGCATCTGCATCCCCTTTGGAGTTTGTTATTTGCAATAAGCTACCTAGGGTCCATCTGGAGAATGATGCAGCAAGGCCCCGTAAGGTCCCTCATCCTACTGGTGAACGAGATACAGGATCGCGTGTGACAGAGCCTAAAGCTTCACAACCTGCACTTCAACTCACTGTCGGAGACGATGTAGCCGCGTACGCACAGAGTCCAGTCGAACTGTCAGCATCAACACCACCTCCAGCATTGGCAAATGGAGGGACGAGTTCGATGCTATCCCAAGTGCATGGCCCAGTCAAGTTGCCGACATCATATCCAAGAAAAGCAACAGCAAAGGCAGATGAAGGTGCAAATTCAGTGCAGACGCGAGCATCCAGCGGTATACTAAGCCCATCTGAACGTCCAACGGCTCACGAACCTGCCAACGAGCCTGAGATGGTGCGACTGCCGTCCCCGGCGAATTTCGAGAAGTTATTTCCTGATGCGGATATATCACAACGCAAGCCGCGGGTAATGATATGCTTTGGGCAGTCTAACCAAATCGACGCTTCCGCTGTGAAAAAATTGCTGGATACACACATGAATAGTCATCGGGTTTTCATTGATTCGGTGAAGGACGACTGGGAAGAGTTTCAGGAAGACCTGTCCAATAGGGTTGCGGCTATACTGTTCCACGAGAAGCACAGAACATATTGCGATCTTCCGGATTTCCACAAAGTCCTCCGATTTCAAAATGTTTCCTGTTACGAGCTTTCGTTTCCATTACAGCTGCTCGAGCCGAAGCAGCCCAAGCCTGATCAGGGGAGTCCTGGGAGTCTCTGGCCGAGACTCTTCCCACGAGGGATGGTTTTGTGCATCACCGAAGACACTTTAATCCGTCACCCGGAAGCGGCGTCGTGGGTAATGAATTGGTTCGAAATGCAATCTGCGGGCAAGGGCAAAGTGTCAACCTGGAAGTTAGCCCTTCTCCCAGACATCTGTTCCTGGCTCCTACGCAAGGCGAAGGAGAGCGATGGGAAAATGCCGGAACGGTCAGTTCTCCCCCTCTTGTTGATCACCTGCGAAGCTAACCACCACCAGGTACGTCGAAATTGTTTTAGCCGTCGAACGACTGAACTTTCGGTCTTTGGAAGCGTCGTGGTGCAATACAGGTCGTGGCGATACCCCGGTTGAATTGGCTCTCTCCCGCTCCTGGGACCGGAGCTCCAAATACATCCAGTCACCCTCGGCATTACCAGCCTATGGAGATTGGGACTCTGCGGATTTCTGTGACAAGGCTGTGAAGGCGCGGGACAAGAAATTGCTTGAATGGTTCGTGGGGTGGGCGGCAGCGAATGCTCATCGCCATCGGAGATTCATTGTTCTAGACTCGACCCGCAACAACGAAACAGAAAAGCATTCGTGGCACGTTGACTTCCAAGATCCCACTTTGTTTGTGAAAGAATGCGAGGAAGCGAGAAAGCGAGAGGAAGTGAAGAACCGAGAGGATGGGAAGCGGCGAGCTTGAATTTCTCGCGCGCTGAGTCTTGGGGTTTCGCGATGTGAAAGAGACTGGCGCATTCATCCTTGTTCCCACAGGAGGGGAAATGGGCCCTGAATGATTTTGGATTCTCTGTTGTGTACTCATTAGCGAAAAGACCTGCGTCGGTGCCGGAGTTGGGTGGGAAGGAAGGAAGGACAGCCTTTCCTCACAAAAGTGGCCCCCTGGTCACAGTGTTCGGATTCACACATCAACCTGCAATGCCGGCGTTTGGTCGCTCGATGGTTTGCGAGCAAGCAGTGACTACAAAAAGCAGGCACCTTTACGACGCATGGATAGCCACTCATGAGACAATAAAAGCAAATTTATATCAACATTCCCGTGGGGCTAGATGGAGTCGCATCTTCTGGTACAACGTGGTATTATCGGCCGTCCAAATCTGGTCTCTGTTCGTTTCAGACGACAGACACGTCAAATATCGTAAAATTCCTCCTCATTGACCTCTCCCCCTTGTCCACATGGTGGTCTTCTGGCCTTGATGTACCCATTTCCAGCTGTCTGTCAGCCGGCTACACAAGAAATATGGGAAGTCAGAGGAATGAAAACAAATGTTTCCACATCAAGCGCGTTGATGCTATGTACCCTCGAGCTGATACTGAGAATTTCTCGCAATCAGCGACTTATAGTAATCCACCAAAACTTCCGGTTTCGGCACAATGCGCCACTCCATTCTGGTGAGAAATTCAAGTTCCAGCAGCGCGAGTTCCTTCATACTCACGCCGCCCACCCTGGCATAAGTCTTGTTAGTCCAAAACGAATCGCTCAGACCTTTGCTGGCGACCGTGGCGCTTGTTATAAGAAACCGATGTACGGTGAGGGAGCTGATAGTGAAAGCCGGATAAAGCGCACACAGGCGGTCGATGTAGTAGACCACGCTGAGTAGTATAGGTGGAGATAGAGTGGCGTGGGTGGTCAATCGTTGGAGATAGTCCAGGACCGAGATGCCTGGAGGGGCGCGTGAGTGGAAACGTGTGAGCTGTCCTTCTCGCAGGGGAATTGCATCGTTGTAGCGTATGAGCTCCATGAGCATCGAGGATATCAGCACTACCAAATCCCGCGTGTTACAGTTCTCATATTGCAGTGGCATTATTCGAACTGGTGGGGCGTCCGGACGTGCCTTTTTCACCGGAGATTGTTGTGTGCTCTGCGTCTCTTCTGCCTCGGGTCCGTTTGGGCGAATTTCTGGCTCTGCAGGGGGTTCAGCGGCCAGCCTCTTCGTCTGGCCTGAACTCGTGGTGCTCTCCGGCTTGGGTGGGTTGACAGCTGTGCCATCGCGTCGCTTCGCGGCCGACGGGAGGGGAGCTGTCTTAGGGGGTTGGTCCTCGCCTTCGGATAGCTGCAGGCCTGCAATTGTACTGGTCGGAGTTTTTTCAGCTTTCTCTTGGTTTGGAGGTGAGTATTGTGTCGCAGCATCAACCATTTTCACGCGGGGTTGAGGCCGGGGCGAGTAGTTGTAGCGATCGAGAGATCGCGTACTGGGAATCCTGCGGGGTTTCTGAACGTCCAGATCGTAGGAGGGAGGGCGCTTTCGGGTTGTGTTGGCCTGTTCCACGGTGGCACTTCGAGGGTTGACAGGCTTGATCATCGAGCGATCATACTGCGTTCGACCCGAGGAGTATACGGCAACACCCGACTCGAGGGTGGTCGTCGGTGGGAGATTAGGGGATGGGGATGTTGCTAGCATATTCAAAGAACCTCAACATCGGAAGCGGAGCCCGTCGCTGCGAGCTGTTCATGGACGTATGATGTATCGCATGGGTTGGCTACCGGAAGTCAGTCAAGAGTGAGGCGAGGGCGTGGGCGCCGATGGTAGAGGTGGCTGCAAGAGACTGATGGGCGACGAGAGCGAGGGCCGGAGCGCGCATGAGGCGAGAGCAGAAGGCAGAGTCTTCAGGTAATTATAAAGCTTGATAACAAGTCTAGTCCGGGGGGAAAAGAACGAAGAACAACGCAAGCAAGGTGCATGTGTGGGAATTAATACAGCAAAACTGCATCTGGGTAATGGGGGGGATCAGCTCATGGACGATGAGAACCCAGCAAGAGATCGGCGCTGGCACGAGGCGACGCCAAAGAAGCGCATTTGTCCAGATTTTCCAAGCCCGACAAACCTTTTCGGGGGACTTCGCTAGGCACTGACTGGGGGGCGCAGGGGGGTGCTTTGGGGACTAGTAGCCTATACCAATGATCGGTGCAGCTTGTCTATGAAAAAGTGGACCGGTCTGACCAAGGCTCGCTTTTCGTGCCGCCGTGGCCATCGCAGAGTATCGGAGCTGGGCGACCCCGTCAGACTGAGGCCTTTTCCACTCGTTTGCCCTGAACGAGCGCCGAATGGCATGCCACGACAACACACGGAAGATTAAGCCGTTGATACACCACCAATACCATCGTCGACAAGGCCTTTGGATTATCGCTACCTCTCCCAGCCTAACAGGGTCATCCGTACTGCCCGCTAATCACGCATCTAGCCTTTCTCCGCTTGCAGGAAGCCTCATCCGACCCAAAGAATTTCTGCCACACCGTCCCCCACACTCTCGCCCCAACCCGACGACGACAACGACCGGTCAAACGTTGTGGCTGGCGTGGTCGATTGCAAGTACACCGAGTCTTCAGGGGCCGGCAGCCCATCGTTCATGTGTTTCTCCTCCATCGCATGGCATCGCTCAGGCTTGCAAGATCTGCTGTGCAGGATCTCACTGCCGCAGACGAGTCTTCAGCCCAGTTGAAAGCCCTGAAAAGAATCAAAGGTGACCTGACCGGGCATGTCTCGCGCAAGATCGAATACATTCAGAATGGCCTCATCCCCCATCTTGCAAAGCTCCTCGCCGATGTTGCCACTCAGCAGGCTGCCCTCGAACAGGAGCAGTTGGTGACAACTCAGGCTGCCCAGATCCTTTGTGTCGTTGCCCACGGTCAGCGCGCCCTGTCCCTTGCCTGCCTTCTGTGATGCTAATCCTGCTGAACAACAGAGGGACCCTCCTTTGTACAACCGCTACTCGAAACCGATGTCCTGCAGAGACTGGTGTCTTTTCTTCCCCGACAGCTCTCTGCCAGAACCCGCCTTGCCATCCTCAAATGTCTCAACGCAGTCGCTGATAATCTTCCCCCCGCAACCGCCGCCAGTTGGCCGCAAAGTTCGAAACTCGCCGATCTCCTGTACTCAAAGAGATACATACATTGCTTTGGAAACATAATTGGAGATGCTAATGCGACCCTAGCGTCTCAACAAGCGTGTGATTCTATCTTGGCTCTTCTGTGTAAGACCGTGACACACGAGGCTCAGAAGCGTGCATTGGGCGAGATAGGTGTCTTGGCCTTGCTTTCGGCCCGGTTGGCATCATTTGTGGTTGCAGAAGGTCTCGTCCCTCCTGGCTCTGAAGCCTTGGACGCCGATGGTAGTATCCCAACTGGTGTCCCAGACCCGGCGCCATCGTGTGCCCATCTCTCCCCAGTACTCGAGGCACTTTGTGTCTTGGTAGAGGGCTCCAAATCACGAACGAAGGCCTTCTTGACAGATCCCACTATCAAGGCTGTCCTTCCTGACCTTCGAGACGACTTTTCACCTTCGGACATCCGACGCGCGCCGTGGGGAGCAAGCTACTTTTCTGGCGCTGCAGTCCCGCGCTCACGCTTGCATGGACCTTTCGATTCTCTTCTCCCAGTCGCACCAATATCCGAAAAGGCCAATGCTGCGCAGCCCGGCTTTCCTCCTCTCAGCTCGGTCACGGCGATGCCCAAGCGCCGACCATCTTTTCTCCCAACAACGAGCGGAGCACCAAACCTGAATTTAACCCAAGATGCTGTAGAGGATGTCGAAGAGAGCGCCATTATCTCGTGGCTATTATATGTCGTTCGGGAGTCACGCGGACGACGTCGTCTTCTGGCGGCGAGATTACTAGTCAACCTGCACAGCCTGCATTTCGTCAAGAAAGACCGTGGATCGTCCTTTGCGTCCTTGTTGGTGCCACTCTTGACGAGGATGCTGGACCCAGAGTTAGCGCAATTCGAGGCATCATATCCAGCCAGCAGGACACATCTTTGTGCTGGCATGCATTACGCACGGGCCGTCCCAGCGGTACTAGCTGCGCTTATCATGGACGATCCCGAGATGCAGAAAGTAGCTGTCGAGGGCAAGGCCATTGTCAATCTGTCTATTGGTCTGAAAATGACCTTTGAAGGACCCTCGGGTCGCATATCATCGCCCTGGCGTCCACACAAAACGGACAAGATGGATACGGATTCAACAACCCCCGGTACAACTATTGGGCCTGGTGGACCAACCTGGACGGCCAGGACGGAAATGCAATATCGAGAAGGTTGTTTGAAAGCACTAGCAGCTATTGCACCATTTGAGGAGGACTACCGTGAACAAATCTGCAACGAGAGTGTTTTACCATGCATCATTCAGGCTTTGGAGCCTTGTGAGGCTCAAATTGGCTCGAATCAGGAAATGGAAACGGGGGGAAACTCAGCTTCTGTGATTTTGGCCGCGTGCGCGGCCGTAAGAGCATTAGGAAGGTCTGTTCGCGCGCTACGGACAAAGCTCATCGAGGCAGAGGTTGGCAAACCAATCCTGAAGCTCATGAATTCGACCAATCCAGAGCTGAGAATTGCGGCCACGAAGGTTCTCACCAACCTGGCCATGGACTTCAGTGCAGTCAAAGAGAGCGTAGGGGAATCGACCGTGGTGAAGAAACTGTGCGAGCAAGCCCATTCGGCAAGCGCTCGGCTTCGGCACGAATCATTGTGGGCTCTCAAACAACTTGTGCTCAACGCCAACAAGAAGCTCAAGCAGGAGGTCGTGGACGAGTTGGGTTGCAGTTGGATTAAGCTACTCATAAAGACGGATCCCATCGATATACCGGAGGGCGAAGTGATCGGGCTTGTGGAGAGGGACTACCCTCCAATCACAACACACAGGCGATCTGCCGCCTCATCCGACAATCCTCAAGATGTCATTATGGGCGAGGGCTCTGAGCGGGATGGCGAGATCGAGGAAGACGCAAGCGGAGGGTCTGAAACGATAAGTGAGCAGACCGGTGGATTTGACACCAGGCACAGCGTGGACGATGACATCCAGATCCAAGCACAGCTGCTGGATCTCCTTCGAAATCTTTTCTGCGGCAACAATGCTTCTGATCTGGTAAGATATGTCATCGATGAAATGGGGCAGGACGACTTCTTCCGAATAATGCTCGAACGACTACGGCCACGGACGCACGCTGGGCCTACGCGCAAGGAGAACTATACGACACCACCACCGAATACAATTGTTGTGAAGGTGTTGTTTGTCTTGGTGCATATCGCCGCTTGCGACCCGAAGTGGCGGAATGTGATCGCCTCACAACACGCGCTGCTCAAGCAAATCCTGACCTTCTGCAACCACGCAGACCGGGAGATTCGTTCCACATGCTGTTGGATCGCCATCAACTTGACGTACGAGGACGACGCGAACGACCGAGCAGGATGCAGGCACCGAGCCGCCGAGTTGCTAAAGGTCGGCTTCGTCTCGCATCTGAGGAAGATGGAAACTGACCTTGATCTGGACGTGCGAGAGCGGGCGAAGACAGCGCTGCACCTGATGACGAACCTGAAGTTGATAGCATAGAACGACGTTTGTCTTGAAAGCAGAGATCAAAGGCTTATGTGTAGCAACACGAAAATATTCGATCAGCGGTTCGTGTAAGAAGGAGTCTTATCAGTATCTTGTGTATCCTGCACGGAAAGCAAGCCTAGTCTAACATGTTAGCGTGGTATCGAGCATTCAGTAATCCAAGAAGCTGATCCCAAAACCGTGATCTCGAAGGGCAATTATTTCCCACCCGATCGATACCCTCAGACCTCATGCTGGGTGTAAAGTGCTCTTCAATATGCAAAGTTACCCGGGCGTCGTAGAGTGTCTTCTTCGGGTCGTGTCGTGCTGGATTCGAAAGAGGCAGCACGGCCAGACCGTTGGGATGGCCACTCGCAAAGACATGTCGGTTGCCATTCAGAGGTTGAGTCGAATCGAATCCGGGATTCTAATTGCATCTCTAGAATTAGTGCTTTCTTTGGCGCTCAGAACAGCGGAGGTTCGATCCTGGTGACGGATCCACGTCGATCTATGTCAGAAGCATAGACCGGCTTTTGATGCGGATGGACATGGTCCAGTTGTTGTAGTCGGTATGGTAGTCGGATCTTCGACTATTCTCATTCTACTGGCCTTGTGTACATGATGATGATTCGATCGAACCACGTAGACGCGCTAGGGTATGCCCAGTCGGAATAGAGGAAGGTGCGGAAAATCCGGCGGTAGGCTTTCCAGCTGGACGACGTGGTCCAGCTCTTCTTCCTAGAGACAATGACATGTTCGGCGAGGCGGCGCTGAAACCAGGTCGATTTGGGAAACATGCCCTTTCGTTCTTCTTCAAATGTCCCCAAGAAGTAAAGCCATGCGTGCGCCTCGCTGTATCGCCGCTTTTCGTCGTCGGTGGCAACAATCGAGATCTGCTCCATCACGGCTCTCAGATGTCGTATGATCTCGGGCGAGGAATCTCGAATATCTCGACCGTTGATTTTCGTCTCGTGACCCAGAATGCGAACGTAGTACAGCAATCCCAGCGCCAGTCCAATCTGCGTCAGTCGCTGACCAGGTGCAAGCGGCTGCTGTGCTTCTGTTTGATATGCTACGCGATTGCCTCCTCGGAGGTCGAAGTATATTTTGAGAAGTTTCGACATCGTATACTCGCTCTGTGTGGCGAACCAGGCAAAGGCAAGCTGTTTGTGCTCCAGTGGACCCCACGCTTTGTCGGGCACTTGCAATCCATCCTCACAGTACGCGGCCTGGTGGAGCGAGTTGATGAAGATCTCCCGCAATTCCGGTAACTCGATTGTGGGATTGATATTGGCATAGACGGCCTCGGGTATAGGAGGTAGGATATACTCGGCCATCGCCCATATTGGTTGGATGATCGTGTGGTACCAATCTGGATCGAAATGGGTTCGGCGCATAAATTTGGTAGCATCATCACAATCAGCGTTGATAGCTTGGATAATCATCAAGTGGTCGACGAGACCGTCGTTGAAACCTTGTACAATGCTTTGAGCGAGGACCTTGCCGTGTACTGCTACCGAGGTCTTGTTCTCAGAGAAGACAGCAGCGCGGAACAACCAGAAGACGTGGCTAATAAGGCTCGGTTCTCGGAGCAGGACACTTTTGCCGTCAGGGTTGGGTAGCTCGTCCAGAGACTTTCGTAATAGTTGTGAGCTTTTGGTCGTATATATGAGAGCTTCACGTCTAATTTTTAGTCGGCCTTCCTCTGGCATTAGAGGGGCCATATTGCTGAGGAAATTGGCAATACACGCCATTGCTTGGCCTTCCGAATATAGGCTGCTTGCGGCTGTCCCCCAGTCTTGTCGGGCAGTCTGCGCGGGTAGCCAGGTGCTGTCTTGTAGAACATTGATCGGCCCGTGGGAGCTACCATAGAGCCGCCGGAAGAAGGTGTTGTAGTATATACTTGGGTACAGCGCTTCCCGCATGAACGTCAAACATTGGTTCACAAGTGGCGTGATGATGATAGGTAGCATGGCGAACGGATCGGAGTTGCCATTGAGCACCAGCGGCGGCGGGGGTTGTCTTTCTTCATCTGATGAACTCGAACTATCGGAAAGGTTGGATTTGGAGCTCGCACTGGAGCGACTTGCACGGTGTGAGTTCGGTACATACAGTCTGTAAAGAGCCTGTTTCCCCAGAGCTGGATGCCGAGTGGCACTTTTTGGAGGTTGGTTCTTCTTCAATGTGTTACTCGCTGCCTGCGTTGACCTAAGGTGACCAATCCGAGCAGCATGTGAGCGTCGTTCTGAGGCACTTATGCCAACACTCTGCCCGTCCTGGTCCGGTTGCCCGAAGACGATCTTGAGAGCAGCCTCTGCCATGGTGGACTCAAATATCCCATGGATGGAAACTCATTGTCCAAAGTCATGGATACATAGCTTCATCTTGGCTTTGTCCACTGCTAGGCAGGTCTGTACATAAGCCACGTGGGGTCTCAGCTGGCGAGGCACGGCGCATGCACCTATATACCAACTCCAAGAGAGGGGGCCTGATCGACGTGACCGTACTGTCCATTGTCCCGTGTCAAAACCAGAGGGCGCAGGCTAAAGGAACGCAGCTGTGCGATGGCCAGATTCCGGTGAGGAGTCGCGCCGTTGTCGCCGGAGCGAGGATATTCTTCGATTTCGGCGACTGGGGGACAGGGATGGTGATGGTGATTGTGCGACAGATGCTGCATGGTGCCTTAGGCGGGCCCCTAAAACGAGTGCGGTGGGTTTCATAGCGTGGACATACATGCAATCCGTGCCGTCTGCGCTGCATTAAAAGATGCATCGGCCTGACTTTTCTCGGTGATGATGGAATCAAGAACTAATCCTCGGCTTGGCCAAATAAGACAAACCGGAATCCCTCAGTCCTCTGACCACTGCTTGTATGCTTCACAAAGCGCTGTTGAGACCTGCCATATCAACGAAAGAGAGAGGAAGAGTCGACCAATCAATAAGAGCCATCACCGTCGACGTCAACCGAGGTCGGGGGTGTGGCAGGCTCGGCGTGTTTGGCCAAACAACAGATTCGTGCGGGCGCCGTGTTGACAAGTCGCTCCCCGCTGTAAATAGTACACATGGTTCCTACACACAACATTCAGAAGACTGCGCGTCTGTGACAAAACAAGACCGATATCCTCCCAAGCCACGAAACCAGTCATCATGACATCTACGCGCAGGAGCTATTCCCGGCCCACCCTGCGAAAGATCCTCAAAGCTCATTCCAAGAAGAAGGTCGGCACAGATGTCGATCCATTGGTTTACCTCAACTACATTTTGTTTATAGATGAGTTCGTCCACACAGTGCCTGCGGTGACTACCAATTCACTGACACCGAGACCCAATCCAGGCTGATGCAGACTGCAACTCGCAAAGCACGCTTGGAAAACAATAAGACGGTTACGGCGAAGGACATCAGGAAAGTCACCATTGTACGTTACATGTCTCACGAAGGCCGAGGAGTACGAGGCCAATACTGATTGTTGTGGCAGACAACTTTGCGGCGATTCAAGGGCTGAACCATCAAGATCTACGACTACAGCACAACATACCCAAAATATATCCCAGTCGTGGGCTCCTGCCCTCATGTCAACACTCGACCCAGATGACACGTCCTATTCAAGCATCCTCGTGAAAAAGGAAACTGCAAAAGGTCTACGGAAACCATAGAGGGCTCAGGCAAAATGGAAGAGAAGGGAGACAAGCCGAGACAAAATGATCGAATAGAGCTGAACCGAGATGAGTCCAGGAGCAATGCGGTCACAGCGGAGGTCTTCAATATGCTTGTCCGCGAAAAAGACCTTGAGAAAGACACGTCACGCTCATGAATGGCTCTGTCTGTCGGGCACCCTGTGATCTGAGCAGGATCGCGGCAAGTTTGACCTACACATTTGTGGTACTACCCCCCGTCCGAGTTGGGGTGAGTCTGGGGTTGCAGACGCCGCTTGCTTGCGGACGAGTCACGCTATGAGATTGGATAGTCACGGTTGATATCAGTGAGAGATGTAGACGTCGGGGAATTGTGTACAGAGCACTTTTAAAGTGCAGCCTTGTCTTGTAAAAGAAGATTCTGGAGCCTTGCGCAAGGGCAGCCTGGTCAATAGTTTGTGACTGTTGCTTGGCGGTCACCGATGAGTAACAAATGGCCGCCTTGCCGCTTTTATGGTCGTTCACCCTCTCTTTGACCTCTGCTCTGTTTACTTTTACACACCACGACTATCAAAAGGCAAGCCTCGTGAGCATGATGCCGGGGGAAAATGAATTAACGCGGCAACAATGACACCGCAACACTTCAGATAACGCCATACACAGTGCGGAGTCCTTATCCATCATGATCAGTCTTGGTTCAATGGCACCAAAAGGGAACAAGGCTGTGGCAGTCCCATCTGCACTATGGTTTTAATAGTCTACTAGCATTATACGTTACTGAACTTTCCAAGCATTTCTAGGACACGTGGGCAGACTTCAGGACAACCTCTAATCTTCTGATCAAATGACATCTTTAAGATACTACAGATGGTAAGGGAACTCGGTCCCTTCCACCTCTTTGTATAACGCCTCCATGGCCTTGACGACCTCGACTGGTAGGGGTCCTTGCTCGATCATGTCAATGTTGGACTCCAGCTGAGCTACACTCGAGGCGGCAATGATGATCGCGTCTCCGAAGTCCTCTTTGAGCGTGCTATGGTATACAGTCCATCTCAACGCTGCAGCGTGGCCGTTGATGCCGTGCTTAGCCACGAGTTCAACTGCGCGGTCTGTAGCGGCTTCAATGTTGGGTTTCAGGTACACGGACGAGTATGTTTGACCCAACCAGGTCTATAGGACCAGGTCAGCGGGTAGACATCAACTTGACACATCTTGTCTGTAGGCTGTGCCACAGGTAAACGAAAACTTACCGATGAATCGAATCGTGCGCCGTGCTGAATATGCTTGTGGTTTCCTGCAAAGAAACCACCAGCCGCTGGACTGTTCTGAATGTTAGCACTCGAATTCATGGGCGACAGACCATCAGGGTTGTGGCAGACCTCCAAGCATAGAAAGCGATTCCATGCTTTCGCAGAATCGGAAAGAGTTCCTTCTCTCCGCTTCTGATCAGGGGGTTGTACTGCCCCTGATAGACGCTCGGCTTAACGAAGCCCTTTTCTTCGCATATTTGAACAATCTTGCCCACTTCCTCCGCTGTGTAGTTGGACAAACCAAAGCGTGCGAATTTGCCTTCTTTAAAGGCCTCGTTGATCGCCGCCAGCGTCTCCTCGAAAGGTGTTGTTCTGTCGGGCACGTGCAGGTATTCGACATCGATCTTTGGTATTTTCAACACCGACAAGGACGTGTCGATGTTTTCCTTGATCTTTTCCTTCGTATGGCTGCTTGGTGTCAGAGAAAACACCTTGGTGTCGATGGAGAATCGCTTTCCCGCCTCGACGGCACCCAGTCTGTCCTCTGACGAACCCGGAGCCATTGGTGAGTAGGCACGGGCTGTGTCAATTTGACGTCCACCACGCCCATAGAACGCATTGAGGTAGGCATTTACCTCCTCAGGTGTGTCGTAACGGACAGTCGAGTCCAGAGACTTGTCCCCGACCTAATTATGCTTGATGAGCAACGATACCAACTGTTGAATGGCTTTCTCACATTGGCTACTCCCAACACAATCTTCAACGGCGATTTTATTGGCATTCTGTCGATCCTCTGTGGCTATTCTTTGTAGTTTGCAGAGGGCGAGAGTTCAAGATGATGACACCAGATAATCTCGTGAGAGGGAGCTATATGGGTTTGAGGCGCAACGCACTGCTTATCAGAGTATGAACGAAAATTCATGGTCGAAGCTCCCAGGTATTGCAACTTCCTATATAGTGACTGACCCCCTATGGAGAGGACGATAGTTATGGTCATAGGGACCTCCTTCTACCCCAGTAATCGAGCAGTTAGTAGTACCCTGCTTATGAATCAGTTGCTAATGAATATTTCCGTATAATCGTGAACCCGACAATGAGCAGGTCTACATGGAATTAGTCAAACTTGCTGAAGAATTGCATGTTCCATATTGTCTGAGGCGCCCCACCCGATACATAGCTAAAAATGGCTAGCCTAGTGAGTCAGTTGCCCGATCTATTCGCAGCTTCCGCCATTTGGTCCGTCGTCGTCCGATGCAAGCAGTCGATTGAATGCCTGTTCGGAGTATAGCGCGTAGCCTGAACGGCTACAATGTTGTAGCTGCGCCGACTAGATGACAACATGGCATTTCCCGTGGGATATCACGCCGTGACTAACTGGTAAGAGTCCAAGGCTCACCATTGTGCTCACATCGTCCCCAATGGCAGCAGTTGTAGGCACGCAAGTTTCGCACTATGACGGATCACGGGCGTCTCTTGCAAGGCTTCAGTGATAGCCAGGACAATACGTCTGTTGCCATGCCATGTCAAACTCCCTCCGCAGAAATCCAGGGGAAAGACACAATCATAATAATGGGGACAGCTCTTGGGGAAGTTCAGAATCGTGAACACTGACGGGCACTTCGTGCATTATTAAGTGTCGTTGTACCTTTCCCGGAACAGTCTTCAATTCCTTTTTCCTCTATGTCGCTCAATAAAACCAATGGGAACGTGAAGGGCTCAAAGGTGAGTTTGATGCGGGTCAAGATCGTCTCTACGTCGAGATAATCGGTGACCTCTGACATCTCGGCCGAATTGAGATATCGGGATAGATTTTCAATCTATTCCTGCAAATGGTGCTTCGGCTCCAGAAACTCCCGGATCCGAAGGACGCTCATTGGAAAGGCCGACTGCAAAAATAGGTCGGCAAGACAAAGATCCACTGCAGGTGAGCTGGCTCGCTCAAGCAGGGGGTGCGCACAGCGTGGAATCACTCTCCCCCAGATTGGAAATCAATGACCCTGAGCCTCCTCAGAGGAGAATTTCCTCCGCTTGTGGAGGCGCACATCACTTCCATGACTTCTGGCGCCCGACAAGTCCTGTGCCCGAGGACGGCAAGACTTCCAGAAGTCTGAATTCAAGCTTCCGGTTCATGAATGGTGATGAAAATTCAACGTCACCATATGATAGAAGACATTCCACAACCGTGGTAGCTTGGTGTGACCAGAAGAGTGCTTTTGGCGCATCGTGAGATTTCACGAATGGTTTAGGTGTTCGATCCGGCAGATTCAGATCTGCGCGCGGATATGTGAAGTTCGTTGCGATAAGTCCACAGAGCACTTCTGCACTTTTTACCTTCCTTGGATTCTGTTCTTTTGTGACAATAGCAAGAGCCGCCGTGTTGAAGAAATTTTGGTTGGAACTTTTGGCCCGGCTCATCCTCTTGCTGGTATCATACCAGACTTGCAAACGGTCTTGTTCATCCAAACAGCTTAGTGTTGTCGAGTGCGGATCTCTTTCTCTTCGCTCCCGTATTCAAACTCAAGGTTTTCCGCTTGACCGCTAATTCTTCAGCACCACCCCTTCGACTTGCATATTTGTTGGCTCTGCGCATTCTCGTCTCGGCTCGGAGAGCATTGGGGCTGACGAATTGTTTGTTCTCGAATATTACCGGGCCCCCAAAGCTGCCTTCCTGAATAACGACTGGAGTGAGGACAAGTCGAGGCCCAATCTCAACCAGCGACACGTCGTCCCCTTTGACACGCTCCTTGTCTGTCTTGTCTGGTGCTGATTCGCGAATCTCGTACACACGAATCCAAATTTTTCCATCGAGCCCGTAAATACCGATGACACGATCAATGAAGGGTTTCATGCCGCGTACACCTTTTGGCGGGACGCAAAATACCCCCCTGAACATCTCCCGTAGTAGCGAGCGATATTCCTGGCCCGGAATCTCTTCATCGAAACTCTTGTCAAAGACCACGACGCCTCGCCCACCTTTTAAGCAATTCCCCCCGAACCCTAGCTCGGCCATCGTGTGCACATTGGTCACGCTGAATTTGACCGTGGGTCCGTTGGGAGCACGTGCGAGCCACAGATACAGATCTTGACCGTGTTTCCGTGCTTCCAGGAAGAAGACGTAATTGCAGGAATGGAGGTCAGCGAGGCCATTGAGCGCGGAGTTGTAGTTGTTGGAAGATTTTGTATCGAGCTTTGTATCTTTGTATGTATGAGGAAGCAGGACATGGAGGTCATTTAACAGATGCCGGTGTCTGCAGATGTTAGCGACCAGTTGTACGAAGAATGTCGGCTGGGATATACCTGTAGGAGACTCCACGGGAAGTGAGCATCAGAACTCGATTCCGAATCTCAGGAGGCAGTTGAGAGAGATCATTCATCTTTTTCTGGCTTTGGGCACGTTCCTCTCCGCTAGACGATTCAGCACGCAGGGTTGAGCTACTCTCTGCAGATACAACTGAACCGCTTTCGTCGGAGTCAGAAGCGTCGCCTGACCGCATGGCTGACTTGTAGGCAGACGCCATAGCGAGAGAGGACCACCGGCTGAGGTTGTGGAAATGGCAAGGATTGTGAATGTGGAAGGCTTCTGGTGCCAAATTGTTTTGCGGGGAAGAGAAAAAATATTTAAGAGTTGGAGACAATGCTTAGTGGATGCGGTCAGTGCAGACTGCGCCCTCCTCCGGTGGAAACTTCACAGTGACTTGGAGCTGTTCGTTACTGAGAGCGATGGGATGCGATGAAATCATAATGGCATTGGCATGGTGTTTATTACTTGAATGTATTCGATATCAGCTGGTGATCTTGGGTACGGGCCACGCCACATGCCAGCGGTCTCGATCCCCAACCGGCGGGATTTCCACCCTCAGACTCGATATGCCGCTTCCCGTGGTGGTTTTCCCTGTACCCTGCAGAGCTTTACTAAGGGCAGCTATTGCAATCGCTGTACCTATACATGCCTTCATCGAGTTTCGGACGTCTTGTGTCCACTCACTTTCCACTATCGGGGCGATTGCCTTGCTTCTTCCTTCCGCCGCCTTTCCAGCTTTGGGATCTGCGACTCGGGGAGGGTTGGTCTCCCAGCCGCTCCTCAAGACCTCCTCCCATGCTTTTCGTGCCGTCTGCACCAAAGCCGTTGCCTGCTCGAGCACGGTTGCGTCGGGGAGGTCCTGTAACGAGCAGGAATGCTGAGCCACATCAAAGTCGATAGGTTCGGGGATGGAGAGGTTGAGAAAGGGCCGCATTCTCAGCTCATACCGTAGTTGGTCTGATGCATACGCAGGGGAAGGCTTGCGCAGATGGCCATGACGTTGCGTGACGGCGAAGACTCGGTGCAGAGCTTTTGCCATGGCCTCTGTGGCTTTGAGCCAAGTGAAATGGCGATACAATCGCTTCAGGGTAATTTGAACCTCATCGCGGCGGTGTGCATCCACCTGTCGACTCGAGGACACAAAAAAACTGATCCTTTCGAGGTGAGAGAGATGCGAGTTGGACAGGAATGAGAGATACCAGTACATCTCCGCAAATTCGTGCGGAGCGTAAATGGAAAGTTCAAATCCCATCTGGAGGATAGTTTGAAGTTGTATCAGCTTGTAATGGTATACCCAGCTGCTGAAAGAATACGAAAAGGTGGGTTCCTCGCCATTGGGGTAAGGAATGGGCTGTTCGTCCAGGATAGACTGTACAAAAGTATCCAGATCCTCGGCCTCTGCTTGAATTTGATCCCACTCAAGGGCTGCATGGCACATTGAACGCCTCACTCGGCAGCGGTTCAGACAGTAAGTCCGAAAGAAATTGAGGAAGGACTGTCCGTAACGACTCAGAAACAAATCCACTTTAGCGCCGAGGTCAATCTGCTGATCTTCTGGAATGTCCTCGATTTCGCTTTTGTTGCTCCCCAACGGCAAAGCACTTGGGAGTGTAAGAGAATGCATGTCTTCAGTGACGAAGTGGTCAATGGTGTATCGGCCCAGTACCGTGTTGTCAATGTTCAAGAAGGACTGCAGGAGCGCTCGAACATACACTGCAGGTTGTGACGTCTGCGCCATGAACCTCTGGTAGGCAACTAGCAGGTCGCTGCTGCATGTAATATCAAGCATTTGGAACGCCGTCGTGGTATCTGTGAGAAGTTGGCGGAAGAAGGAAAACGCCTTCTCCTTCTCCATGACTATCATCGGTCTCGGTGGCACACTGCTTGCCAGCCCCCGCTGCATCTTCAGAGTGAAAGCAACAGTGGGGGTTGGGCGTCCCAGAATGGAAGTCTCTTCAATCGCCTTGATCAAAGCAAGATTTCCCTCGAGAGTAGAGTTGGCCGGTCGTTCGCGGAGCTCACAACTGTGCAATAGCCGAAGGAAAGCAGACCGTGCATTCACCCTGTCTTTCAATGCCGCCATCAGGGGTTGCGGGAGGTTGCCGTTTTGTACAAAAGCATGTGCATCCTGCAACGAGTCCATCACCTCTCCAACGGAAAAGTCATGCAGGAGAGGCCGATTGTATATCTGTGGAGCGAAGTCTTCCTCCTGCATATCATCAGCTGCCAGTTTATATCGGGTATTTCCTGCTGTCCCTACCTCGTAAAAATGTTGGCTCGCTACCATTGAGAGAACTAGATCACAACATTTTATCAGGCCCACACAGTAGGACTGAAAAACGGCGTGCAGGAGAGAAGACGCATCTCTGGTACTGGGATGATCCCTCCAGAAGCAAGCGTCAGAGAATTGTTTTGGTTGAGGCCAGAGGAGTCGTTCGATGTGTATCGAAGTAAATAGAGTCTGAGATAGAGGATATCCCATATGCCATGCTGCCTGTCGGAGGTCACACGATCGTTCTACGCTCAAAGCTGGGGTCGCCTACCTCGCGATACATCAACTGGTCCATCAGCCATATGATCTCCTCTGCAGATACGGTCCTCGCGGGGTCGAACTCCTCATCGCTTTCCGCGTCGAAAGCAGTACACCCGCTATCCATCTTCGGATCGCCAATCTGGTCGCTCAGTCAGCGTTCACGCTATTTCCGGCATGAATAAAGAGATATCAAACCTCCAGGGCGCTGACGGCCTCATATAACGTGAAGTGTTCATCTTTGACCAGCTTGCCACCGGCTAGTTCTATGAGAAGGTCAGTCTGGTTTGAGACAAAGTGAGGATCAGGACTGACTTGATGCAGCACTGCAGAACTCTCTCGTTATTTCGGATATCTGGACATTGGGGTGGACAATTTGGGATTGAACCATGACAGCCGTTCCCTTCTAGTGGAATAGGAGAACAAGTACAACGATGGGCACAATCCCCCAACAGTCGACAGACGTCCCCGCAGCGGCGAGCCCAAAATTTACTCGATCCTACGCGGAATGAGTCCAGACACAAATCGGAGTGCTAGCGAGGCATTCAACGTGCAGACAACAATTGTGCAGAGGTGCACTTGGGATGCGAAGGTCGTGTGGATGCAAAGTTGAAAAGATTATGGCACGGGAATTTTTACAGGCTCTGGAAATGTCATGTGCACATCCGCAGGCACGCATCCAGCTTCGCAGTGAAGTCTTCGGTGTAATATGTACAAGTCTGATTTTTGGCTCCTTCAAACAGTTTCCCATTCGCCATTGATGCGTCCTGCACGATGCAGCCTCCTTCTATTTGGCCTCCCCAGTAGCATGTTCAGCCATAGCGTCAGCGTTTGCGGCACCCAGGCTCTTGTTTTCTCCTTGTTTGCCGTTCTCCTCGGTGTCAGTCGGAAAGCCTTTGGGGACAGAAGCTGCGGAGTGAGCTCACCTGCCACTTTGCGAATCTCAGATCCATATCGCCTCTTCTCTCGGCTTGAAGTCTGGGCCCTTCTTTTAACGATCTGCGGACAACTCTAGCGGCAACGGCGAGGTATCGGTTGTAGCTGTCAACGTTAGCCCGAACCAGGCAAATAAGGAAGGAGAGCTCAGCATACGTGAGACCGGCTGCTTTCCACTCGAAGCCCATGGTGGCGATTGGGAGATGTGCAAACGTTTGAGGAGAAATGAAGCTCTACGTCGGTATCAATGGGGGAGAGTAAACTGCGCAACCAGAATGCCAAAGGGAAGCTCCTAGCTTGCCAAGGTTATTCCCGGAACAATGTTGATGCGGAGGCTAGCCTTGCCAGCCTTGCCAGCCTTGTCCCACCAAAAACGGATTCTCTTCTTCGTTTTCCGAACTACGACCGGGTTCTATTGGCCGTTTGTAGAGTGTAAGGCCTTTGCCTCCCAAGACAGCTGTCCTGAAGCAGCAGTATGACTCTTTTCTCTCTTGTTTGGTCAGACTTGAAGTCTATACCTCTTTCTACATAATTCACAACGAGAATCTGAGCGGAATGCAAAATGCAACCCAAGGAGACATATCTGGAGATGGCAGAAGAGATGGCAGAACAGGTTGAATCCTCAATTCAAGTTGCCAACATGATGATTTGGCAAGCGTAGATTCATATGTCTCGAAGTATGGCGACTGAAGCATCTATACGATGGATCTCCGTCATAAACCAACACTCCTTCTGTCGCCAGCGAAGCAACAATTCCAGTTCCCCTGGTGATAATATCTCCTCCTCGCTTCCTTGGACGTCACTCCGTTCAACCTTGCTCAGAGTCGACGATATCTTGTCTCGTTCGAGGTGCAGGCGCTCGTACAATCTCGACATTGTTTTGTACAGCCTGTCTAGGAATATTTTTTGTACCCTTTCAGGGTCGTAGAAGTAGAGGTAGGTTGTGCTTTTGGGCTGTCTTTGAGGGTCTCTCGGAACTTCTTGGAGCTCGAGGAAGCCCTTCATCTGCAGTTGTGCTAGCGATTTCCGAAGTTCTTTCGCGTTCAGAAGGCCAACGTCCTGCATTGCTCTCTCATCAAGTTTGCCTTTGTCAGCCAGCATGCGAACAATCCTGAGCGCCGGTTCGCTCACGCTCTCATCGATAAGACGCAGCATCTCCTTATCCCACAAGAAATTGTTGAGCTTGCTCTTGTCAATTGCCCAGGTCCTTGTGACGGGATCGCCCAAGAGAAAGGCGAACGGCCCTTCTGCCAGCAGACCCAGCTGGTATTCAATGAACTGATGATCTCCGCTCGTCCCATTGGCTCTATAATCCTGATGGCCGTTCAGGAGTTTGTCTCCGGCGAGCCATCCGTTTTCATTGCTTTGACCATTGCTCATTGCTGGTCGACCTTCCGAAGCAATACAGTGGCTCATCTGGGAGAAGTCGAGTCTCTGCAACGATCCCGCAGGGTTATCCGACAACCGGAGTTTCAATGGTCGTGGGTCGATGTCTTCAAGCTGCAAACAAGCTGCCCGTGCAACTTCTGCCGTGCGTCGGCCGAAAATCTTCTCAGCAACTTCCGCCACTCTTTCATTGCGAGTGTAAAGAATCAAATTTGAATAGTCGACCGAGAGCAAGATGTTGGCCTATTTCCAATCAGTAAAGAACGAAACAGAGCGACAATAGTCAATACTTGGCTGGAGTTCGCCTCGAGTTCATGCAACACCTGGGGCCAAGAGATATTTCCATCTAGACGGTGTTCGAGCTCGGCGTCCACCTTGGCTTCACCATCGATTTTGATTTTCTTCGCCGTTCCTTGAAGGAGCAACCCGTGACCGCGTAAGTAGCGTTCTGCATCCTGACGAGAGTCAAACGGTGAGTGGAAATGTGCCTCGCGAACGGTGAGAATGAACTTGGAAGTAATTAGATGCTTCAGCAGCGCGCGGAAACGACTCTTGTCCATCAACCTGGACGAGTCATCATGCCCTAAAACGTGTGCTTCCAGCTCGCACGCGGTAGCAAATCCCAGTACAGCCAGGTGTTCCATAATATCCGCGCCCGCAGATCCGAACTTCCATTCAACAAGTTCAATAAGTCTTCCGGTACGCATGATGTTGTATGCATTGCTGGTGTTCGCTTGATAGGTCGATGAGCCCTCTGGAGATGTGTGATGGTAGACTAGCCGTAGTTGAATCAAGCTCGCCATGCCAGTCTTCACTTGGCGGAGCGGAAGACGACATTTTTGAGCGACCTGGTTGATAGAAAGTCGCCCGACTTGGGTCAGCTGTCGAAAGATTTGCTGCATCAGACATCAGTATTTCGTGCATAAACGCCGAATATGGGTTCCTGACAGCGAGGAATGTACCATAGGCGTCTTCCACGATTCGGCAGCAAAGCTGCGAGAATTCCTGCCGCGTCTCAGTTAAGCAAATTCCTCTGAATCTGCCGGTGTTTCTGAAATACCTCCATCTCGAACACAAACAAAACAGAATTGGATTTTAACGCCTAGCAGAGGACAATTCGTTCACTGCTTCATCTCAGATTGTTTGGAGACAAATGCCGCAAGAGGGAGGACTTCATTTGGGTACTTTCATCTTGGGATTCGAGAAGAAACTTTTGCCAGAGACAAGGCTGGCAGCAAGTCCGCAGAAATTCTGGTGACGGGGCGGATCCCTGCGGGGGCTTGGGACTGGGCTTGGCAAAAGCATGCAACGTGAGTGGCTGCCTCCCTTGAGCCAATCAGGGCGAGCTTGAATTCTGTAGAATCAATTGAAGCTTGACTCCATCCCGAAGCTCCTGTTCGACTGCATCTGTTGCATTACCACCTCCCCGATTCACCACGAGGCTCCTTGAACAATGGCTTCTCCAGCTTCGCTTGGCTCTAAAGCCCTGCGAGCTAGCAGTCGTCATATTCCTGTCACCTCCTTCCACCGGAGAGGTCTAGCCGCAGCTGCTTCCGGCAGCTTTCAATATGAGACGGGGGATGCGTCTGGTGTCAAGTTCGCCAGCAGAGATTTGCCAGGTCCAACGACTACTTTGACCGTCGTCGCAAAAGCTGGTACTCGGTACCAGCCGCTGCCTGGCTATTCCGACGCTCTCGAAAAGTTTGCTTTCAAGGTCTATCAACATTGTACCGGCAGCGATGATCGCTCAGCTAACTCAAAAATTAGTCCACCACGAAACGATCAACTCTGCGCATTACCCGAGAGGCTGAGCTTCTCGGCGGTGAGCTGTCTGCATACCACTCCCGAGAGAACCTCGTCCTCCGAGCCAAGTTCCTGCGTGAAGACCTGCCCTATTTCACCGAGTTGCTGGGAGAAGTCATATCAAAAACAAGATACACGAGTTGGTCCCCTTGCAAGTATAGTTGGAACCCTGATGTCTGACAATGTACAGCACACGAGCTCAATGAAGAGGTGATTCATGTCATGAAACTTGCGCAAAAGGGTCTCCTCGGAAGCCCTCTGTCACTGGCCCTGAATTCCGTACATGGTGTTGCGTTCCACCGCGGCTTGGGCGAGCCATTATATGCCACTTCCTCGGTTCCGATCCTCCAGTACCTTGATGCTGAAGACGTTGCGAAATTCAGTGACAGTGCCTACGTTAAGGGAAATATTGCTGTTGTCGCCAATGGTGCTAGTCACTCTGAATTCTCCAAGTGGGTGGGAGAGTTCTTCCAGGACACTCCGAACGGTTCCAAACTGTCCAGCCCTGCTTCCAAATATTATGGTGGCGAAGAGAGAATCGCACACGGATCTGGGAATGTGTTGATTATCGGTTTCCAGGGTTCCAGCTCGTTTACCGCCGGATCCTCGTACAAACCAGAAATTGCAGTCCTTGCCACCTTACTCGGAGGAGAAAGCAGCATCAAATGGTCCCCAGGCTTCTCCCTACTGTCTAAAGCTGCACATGACTTCCCTCAAGTGCAAGTCTCTACTCAACATGCCGCTTATTCAGATGCTGGTCTCCTCTACATCACATTCAGCGGGAATGCCGCTCAGATCGCGAAAGCAAGCAAGAACGCAGTCGACACGCTTAAAAAGGTCGCAGCAGGCGAGGTGGCAGAAGAAGACATCAAGAAGGCTACTGCATTGGCGAAATTCAGAGCACTTGAGGCTGGACAACAGACACAGGCTGGTCTGGAAGCCACCGGAAACGGACTCATCGAGGGCGGGAAGGCGTTCCAAATTGATGAGATTGGCTCGTCCATCGACAAGGTATCTTCAGACAAAGTCAAGGCGGTAAGTGACTCCATTCGACTGTTGGTAAATACTAGTATGTCTAACCTGTGCATAGGCGGCAAAGAGCCTGTTGGAGTCAAAAGCATCGGTATCGGCAGTGGGAGACCTATTCAGACTTCCTTTTGCGTCTGAGATAGGTTTAACAGTTTGAGAAGGGAGTGGTTCATCCGATTTCCGTCGCGCATTCTGGTGTGTAAAACTTGTAAATAAGACAGAAACGCCTAACAAAGACCCTTTGAAAGATCGCCACCTTGCTGTCTATTGAACTGTAATGATGTCTATTAGTATCACCCTACTCTTGCCAAAAGGCAACACAGGACGTGCGTAGTCGACGAAAGCTGCTTGCACTGGCCTGTAGAGGAGGATGTAAGATTTCGTCAGTCGTCAAACCGGACTGGGAACCCGGCGACAATCATCCGTGGAACCATTTTTGCAACAGTCAGTCCACCGTCCCATACCGTTTCTACAACCATGCGAACTCTCCGGTATCACCGAAGACACTTGCGGCGATGAGATCAGCGATCAAGCCAAGCTCAACAGAATCCCGAACAATGGAAGGACTTGATAGTTACAAGCGAATTGATGATGAAGAGGAAGAAGAAGAGGCGGAAATACCCCCACGACAACATTCGATGAGCCACGTCGAACGTCCGTATCAGAGTGATATGCAGGGGCGCCTCAAATTGAATCCAATGGGCTATCTGATTTGCGCTCGGTCTCAATGTCGCTGGAGGTGGTCTGCTCAGCGAGGCTTCATCCATCATGCAGACACTTCCACGGTTTTCGTTTTCCGTGGCGGGCCCCGGCGAGCCGGGGCGCAGATGGAGGAGGATCGCATCCTGCGGAGGCGCCACGTTGGGACATATTAAATGGACTGCCAAATAGGCCGCTTGTGCAGCCTTGCAAGAGCCCACGACTGCGATTTCAAAACACTAGGAACTGAACCCATAACGTTTTCGACAGCATGAGCCAGCTCTATTTCGACGCCCTGATCGTGGGCGCTGGCTTCGGAGGCATCTATCAGCTCCACAAACTGCTGTCTCTCGGCCTCTCTGTGAAGGTCATCGACTTTGCCGGCGATGTGGGCGGTACCTGGTACTGGAACCGCTATCCAGGAGCGATGAGCGACACGGAAAGTTTTGTGTACCGGTACTCGTGGGATAAAGACGATCTACAGACCTACCCGTGGAGTCACCACTACGTGAAGCAACCAGACGTTCTCGCTTATTTGGAACATGTCGTGGACAAGTATGATCTACGGAAGCATATGCAGTTCAATACGGAGATGATATCTGCGGACTGGGATGACGAGGCCGGTGTATGGCGGGTCGAGGTCAGTACCGGCGACGTCTTCATCGTGAGGTATCTTGTCACGGCCCTTGGCCTGCTCTCGAAAGCGAACTATCCCGATATTCCCGGCATAGAGGATTTCCGAGGCGAGATGTGCCACACCGCGAAATGGAGGCCAGAGCTGGACCTCACGAACAAGCGAGTTGCCGTCATCGGGTGCGGGTCGACTGGCGTGCAAGTCATCACGGACGTCGCGAAGAAGGTCAAGACACTCACTTGTTTCCAACGGCACCCCCAGTATTCCGTGCCCAGTGGCGACGCCCCCGTGAGTGAAGAGTACAGAGAACACATCAACGCACATTACCCCGAGATCATGAAGCAGGTCCGCAACTCGGTGTGCGGCTTCGGCTTTGTCGAGTCAAACACCCCCTACCACGCCGTGGCCCCGGAAGAGCGCGAACAGATCTTCGAAGCACTGTGGCAGAAGGGCAATGGTTTCCGGTTCATGTTCGGCGGGTTCAGCGACGTCGCCACCAATCGCGAGGCCAACGAGGCTGCCTGCGCATTCATTCGCAAGAAGATAGCCCAGACCGTTCGAGATCCCCAAAAGGCGAAGAAGCTGATGCCCCATGACTATTACGCCCGGAGGCCCCTATGCGACGGTGGTTATTACGAGCAGTTCAACCGGGACAATGTTGAGATTGTCGACGTCAACGAGACGCCGATTACAAAGATCACCGCGGACGGGATCGAAGTCAGTGACGGGACGGTGCATCAACTGGACGTCATCATCTTCGCCACCGGCTTTGACGCCATCGACGGGAACTACAACCGAGTGCGAGTCCGAGGCCGGGACGGCAAGACGTTGAAGGAGCATTGGGACCCTCGCGGCCCGACCAGCTATCTGGGCGTCTTTGTGCCTGGGTTCCCCAACCTCTGCATGATCACCGGGCCTCAGGGCCCATTCAGCAACATCCCGCCCGCCATCGAGATCCACGTCGAGCTCATCTCGCAGATGATCGAGCGCGCCGAAGAGACCCGGCGCCAGACCAGTGGCCGCCAGGAGTGCAAGGGCGTCATCGAGGCCCTCCCGGACGCTGAGGAAGACTGGCTCCAGCAATGTGAACAGGCCGCTGAGGGGAGTCTGTTCAAGGAGACGGCCTCGTGGATCTTTGGCAGCGTAAGTCTCTCGCCCTCCCCCC